AGACTTCAGAGATTGCTCAGCACTTGCAAGTTTTACACATCAGTGAGAATCAGCAAGTGGGCACAGCATTCAATGGCTCATTTTTCTGGGTGCTGTTGTAGTTATTTGTGATACAAAACTCCCCTGGATGTTGAATGCTCATTTTTTTAATAAGGGATTGCTCTTGACTGAGCAATTTCGGAATCATTTAAACAGTTCATGTTTTGGAAAGTGTTGGATGTTCACTTTCATAGAAAATCACGTGTCTGTTCAGTCTGAGAAGTCCTCAATGCATGCACAAAGAGCATCTAAGAATGCTGATTTCCCATCCTAGGAAACCATTGCCTGAGTAGAAGTTCCAGGCAAACTAAAGAGATTGCAGGCAAAGGAGATTGCAGAAGATGGGTTATATGTTCTTGAAACAAAGTCTGAAAAGCTACTGTCAGTCATCCTGGCATTATATTTCTTATTGATTCAACATCCATGACCTGACTGTAAATTTTTCATAGATCTTTGTATCATGTTCTTTTTCCAAATCCCGTTGCCATTGTGACCATGTTTTCCTACAGAACTTGGCTTCCATTTCTCAACAGTTTGTACAGAACAGAACAAGGTGTAATAGTGAAAGTTTTGACATTACTTTAAAATATTTTCGTTGCAAGTTGTTCATGATTTCTTTTCATCTTGGTGCTTGCAAACTGTGTAAGAAGACAGACTTAGTTAAGTACCTTACTGCATCTTTTTTTCCTAAAAGTGACCTTCTGTCACTATGACAGGAAGTTCTAGAAGTGTCAGGGTGTAACTTGCTTAGTGTTTCCATTCTGTTTTCTCTTGTGACACAACTCATATAAAAGAACTTGAAGATTAGTTTCAAAGCAACTTCTTAAGATGTGTAAGAAGTTTTTCAAATATTGGGAAGTGAACAAGGGGGACATAGGCCAGGGTAGAGATGACAGATAACATGGCTTGTGAAGACATGTCAGCAAAGGAAAAATGATCAGAGCAACCTGGGTTACATAATTTTGTAGCTAAAGCTGTAAGCAGCAAACTCCACTCAGGCCTTGCTCCCATTAACTTAGACACATACTTTCTTAACAGTTGGAATGGAAAATCTCTATAAGCTCGTGTTTTGATGGCTTATTTGATGTGCGAACTTGACTAGATTTCCTTTGGTCGTTGGGTGTAAGCAATACATAAATCAATAATGCTGGAGATGGAAGAGTTCAATTTCACGGGAATTATAACTGTTTAAATTGCTCCAAACATGGGGAAAAAAGTCTTAAATTCTACTTAACAAATAAAACTCTAAAACATACCTAAACACATGTTCTTTGAAACCTGCAGCATCTTTCTGAACAGATTTTGAAAGCTTCAAGAAAATCTAACTCACTCTTTTCAGGATTGGCTCATCCTTACACTAGGCTTAACAAATCTGTCTAAATTTACATCCAGGCAATGCTAATCTTGGCCCATGCAGATTTAACTGCAGCATGTCTGCTTCTGTCACCTCTGTAGCTGGGCACATTCCTTTAGCACTGTAGAATTGGTGTCCCTGTGACATCTGATGTCGGGATGAAGCCCACCTGAAGCAGGATGGAGCACCTCTATGATGTGCCTTCTAACACTCCACTGTCAAACAAGCTTATATGGAGTAGCTCATGTGACAGGACTATCCTGACTTTAGAGCAAAAGCCTGTCCTAGGGCTTCAAGTTTTCTGTAGTGACAGAGCTTTAGATTTGAAAAGACTGAAAGCTTTAGAAACAATGTGTGTTACATCTGGTTCTACAAAGGAAACTCTTGAATCCTGTTGCGCACTTAGGTTAGGCACAGCTTGACCTCAATTAGCCACTTTCTGATACTTCTTCAGGGTTTCAGCCAGTTGTCTTTTGAGGAGAAGAGGTTGGAGAAGCTGAATTTGGCTTGTTGAACAACTATATAAACTCCAGAGCTGTCGAAGGCTGGTGTGGTGAGGACTGGGGGAAGAGCGAGTGTGAGGCTGTCCCCACTTGGCAGCAGTGGCTTTTGATTGAACTCAACCATTGCATAGAACTGCACCTTCAACTGGCTTTTTGGCACAGCCAACAGACATGGACATAATGATCAGCAGCTCTTCGGATGACTTGTGTTTGAAACTAGGTAATGTTTCAGCTCTACAATCTTTCTTGTAGGTCTTCTGAACTTTATCCAAGAGTTGTGGATGTTAAAGGAACAGTTGCTACAAATTGTAAAAAATGTTTCTATTTAAAATAGTGCTTCCTGTTATATCCTGTTGTCTGGCAAAGCCACTTGTGATCTAAACTTATCTTCTGTCCTAGGTGGAAAGAGTGAAAAATAACTATACATTATGATCTTTGTCCTAAAGCACACCTTGTGCAGGGATGTGGTGTATTGAAGACCAGCCTGCGTCTGGTACCACATGACAAAGTTTGTAGCCAGTAGAAAAATGAGATGTTCTCTCTGGGCAGTCTTAGTTGGTTTCTCTTGGGTTTAGGTTTTTATCAGGGTAGTAATAGTTGGGAAAAATCACCATGTTCAAGTGTGAATGTTGTCTCTTCATGGTTCTTCCTGCAAGGGTCTGTGTCTCTGGTGTTTCATGTCTTGGGTGTCTTTGTGTTTCTTTAGGATCTCTCTTGTCTGCTACTCCTCAGCAGACTTCCCAAAACTGTTCTATCCTGTAATAAACTTCATGCTGACTTTTTTTTCAAATATTGACTTCTGTGGATATTTAAAGTAGCTGCCTAAGGATCTTCTTTTCCATAGTGGTCACTCTACGAACTATTGAGTTTGAAAGACAACCCATGCTAGCTCCACTTTCATACCAGAATATATTCTGAATGCAAAATACAGAACAGAACAGCTGCTACATTCAATGAGTCATACTTGTGGTAATACTGAAAAGTTAAAGCTCCTTTAAGAAAGGCAGGATTGCTACAGGATGACAGAAGCTTCCAGTACTTGCAACAGGAGGAAGACCACATGGAGTTATGAATCTGAAATCTACTGGAAAGGAAGGTGGTTGGAGGAAGTGTGTTTGGTTGATTCTCCCAGTCTCTCTCCAGTCTCAGAGTGAATCTAACAGCTTTCAAGCCACAGGTAAGAAAACGCACATCAAGAGGCAAAACACCTTAATTATGGTCAGAAAAATGACTGCTAAGCATGGTTTTATCTCTGTTCCATGGTGTTTTCTTGCTAGGGAGAACACATTGGTGTGTTGGATTGTTTTCTTTTCTCAGAATTATGAGATTCACATGGCAGCAGATAGCTCCTGTGGTGACTCAACCTGCTTTCCTTAGCTTCCTGTTAAGGGAAGGAGAACATGACTAAGGCCAAAGGATGGGTGTTTTAAATGGGGTGTAAAAAGTTCTGACAGTCCAAGTGTCTCTTATTTGTCCATTAGTACCTTCAGTGCAAGTCTCCAGACTTTTTTTGGAGAGAGGTGGGCAAGTGGGTTTAGGTCTCCATAAATTTCATCAGTGATGTTCATCTATAGTCACATTTTTATGTTTTACCTTAGAGGTGTATTTCTGAGGAGGATTCTGAACAGCTTGTGTCTACTAATGGTTGATTTAATTCCCCTGAACTAGATCAAGGAAATGACAGACCAGACTGTTCCAGCCCTTACTCAGTTAATTTAATGGCTTGTTTTCTCTGCAAGGAAAAGCTTAAGCTCTTGTTCCAGCATCCCTGACTTCGGGAGGGGGTTGCTAGGTAGCAGAAAATTGAGTCTATGCATCTCTCTTGTCCCCTGCTATCTGCTCCATATTTAAAACTGTGTCCATGATGACTTCTGTGTTTTGTGGTGGATTTTTTGGTTGGTTTGTGGGTTTGGTTTGGGTGTTGTTGGTGTTGTGTTTTTTTTTCTGAGGACTTTTATTTTTTCCTAGTGGGAGAAACTATCATGTAGATTAGTTGCACTGCTAGATTTCTGTTACCTTGTCCTTTGTTTTTGTAGTGTTGATTGTTGTCTCCTTTTACCCTATGACATGGGCAACTGCAGAGTGTTGCCAAAACTTCTTATCCAGGTGTAATCTAAAGAAGTTGTATTTGGTGATGAGGAGTCCCGTGTTTACCAGGGTAAACTTTGCTTCAGGTGGTTAAATAGAATACTTTCAGTCCTCTGCTTTTAAGCTTATCATGATGGCAGTGGGCAGCCTGACCAACTCCTCCAAAAGACACTACCAAATGTTTGGATTTCTGTTACTCTCCAGCTTGTCTGCATCTCTGAAACAAGAGTAAGCTTTACAATAGTGTTCTATTGTAAAGTTGCTGAGTTTATAACTCTGAGGTGCATTGTTTAACTTCATGTTTCCAAAATAAAAAGGGTTTAAACTGATACTATAAAAAGCGCTGACTGACTTTTATTCACCAAACTGCCCATACAGCTTTTCTGTTATGCATTACAATCTGCAATCCTCGGATACACCAATGCGGGGTTTCCATTTTGAGGAGCCAGTTCCCTTCGTGGAGCACCACAAAACTGCTCCAAGTTTTCTTATTTCTATACTTTGTTGTGTTCTCCTTGTTATCTAGTTGCAAGACTTCAGATGAGTAAAACATTCTCAAAACATTTGTGTTGCACAGAACTTCTAATGATAGCTTGTGTTCTCTTGCTTCAGGAGTTATTTCTATGCAACAAGTGCTTAGCTTGTGGGGTGTCATTCCTTACGGTGCTAGTCCTACATTTCTTGCTTGACAAAGCTCTTAATTGTCGTTTTTTTGTGGCATGAACAAGTAGTTGCAACTTCAGGCTGTTCTTGTCTATTACATAGAAGAGACAACTCTGGCTACAAGAACTGAATTTTAAACTGCAGGATGAGAATGCTGGACTCGGGTGGCTTTTAGTGCTTTGGGTTCTTCACTGAACCCTAGTTGGTAGCAGAGACAGTAGCCCTGAAGTGTGAGCTGTCTGGTCCTGACAGGGGTGCAGCCTGTCTCTGTCAGCCCGCCCCTTAACCGTAGCTCGAGTGACCAGCTGTCTGCACCGCGGGTTAAGGGGGTCCCGAGCCGGGTCTGGGCCGTTCGGTACCGGCCGGTCCGGGCACGGTTGACCTCGTGGCGCTTCTCGAGCCCCGCAGCTGTTGAGTCCAGCGGCCGCTCCCCTCCAGCGGGTCGGGGCAGAGCAGCGGGGCCGTCCTGGGGCTCCCCGGGGGAAGGTGCTGGATGAGGCTGGGGGGATGGAGCTCTGCGGGCAAGGGGACGGGAATGGCGGGGGGGAGAGACCGGTGAGGGACACCGAGGGCTGCCAGGGCTCCGCCCGGAGCGCTCACCCAGCACTCTCTCCCCCGGGAGCCGGCTCGGGGCTCTGCCTGGTCTGTGTCTTCAGTAGACCGACCGCCCAAAGACAATTTGTAACCCGGGACATTTGTAGGCTGCCTCTCTCTCCGAGCTTATAGTTTAAATAAAATGCCATCTGTCAGTGGGCATTTCTAAGAAAGAGGTTTCTGTGTCAGGTTCCTCCTTCCCTGGCCTCCACAAGCTTGGTCTGGGCCACTGATCACCTCTGACTTGCTGCCAGTCGGGTTACTTTTTTCTTTTGGGGGCTGGGAGGGGGTGTGGGTGTGTGTGGCTGTTGATGGGGCGTGTCTGAGTAGTCAGCCATTTCCATAACCAAACCTAATCACAAGTGTGTTAATAACAGCTCACTAAAACCTTTCTCCTCTCCCCCACTTAGAATTGGCATGAATCTTCATGAAGGAGGGAAACACATGAGAAGATCCGATTAGAACCTCAGTGTTTGTTTCAAGATGCCCCAAAGGGAAAATACTCATCTGCAAGTCTCATCTTTCAAAACTGCCTGTGTTCCTTCAATCAAAGAAAAATGTTTTTTGAGAAAGATGACTTATGAAGTCTGTGAACAAAGCTGGCTTCACAAGGATACTGAGTGAAAGACATCATGCCTTACAAGGGACACTTATCTTGAAGAGGTGACACTGTGCTCTTAAATAAAAACAAAGGCACTTGAAAAACACTGATCCTAAACAAGAATAAGGATTATAAAAACTGCATCAGAATGTTTGTTAGTCCCAGAAGAGTCAGAAAATGCCATTTTTTGCAGATATTTGCCACTTGCTTCATACTGTGTCTCATGATTTTTTGGGGACCATTTGATAATCACATTGTGAGCCATATGAAGTCCTATTCATACAGATACCTCATAAATAGCTACCATTTTGTGAATGACAGCCTGTCTATCAGCAGGGATAACCTGGACAGAGTATCAAGCTACCAATATTTGATCAACCACAGAGAGAAATGTCAGCAGCAGGATGTCCTTCTGCTGTTGTTTGTAAAGACTTCTCCTGAGAACCGTCATCGGAGGGATGCAATTAGACAAACTTGGGGTAATGAGAAGTATGTTCGTTCTCAACTTAATGCCAACATTAAAACTCTTTTTGCTTTAGGACGACCAACAGACCATCTGCAGAAAACATGGCAGCAAAGGGAACTTGAGCTTGAAGACCAGAAATACCATGACTTGATTCAGCAAGACTTCTTGGATACTTTTCACAACCTTACTCTAAAATTGCTTTTGCAGTTTAGCTGGGTGAATGCCTACTGTCCTCATGCCAGGTTCATTATGTCTGCAGATGATGATATATTTATCCATATGCCAAATCTTGTTGCTTATCTCCAAAGTCTAACACAAATGGGTGTTCAAGATCTCTGGATTGGTCGTGTCCATCGTGGATCCCCTCCCGTAAGAGACAAGAGTAGCAAATACTATGTTCCATATGAAATGTACCAGTGGCCCTCTTACCCTGACTACACAGCAGGAGCTGCATATGTAATATCAAATGATGTAGCAGCTAAAGTCTATGAGGCTTCACTGACTCTCAATACAAGTCTTTATATAGATGATGTTTTCATGGGTCTCTGTGCCAATAAAATGGGAATTGTACCACAATATCATGTATTTTTTTCTGGGGAAGGAAAGGCTCCATATCATCCCTGCATTTATAACAAGATGATGACATCTCACGGACACGTAGATGATCTTCGCCAGCTCTGGAAGCAGGCTACAGATCCCAAAGTTAAAAAGATTTCTTCAGGGATTTGGGGTAGAATATACTGCAGACTAGTCAATATTGTGCTTCTCTGTAAACTGTACTATGAGGACACATATCCTTGTTCAGCTGCATTTTCTTAATACTTGAATATCTGCACAGAAGATCCACTGAGCCAAAACAGAGCAACAACTTTTTAGGTGTTTATTCAAAATATATGTAAACATGGAAAGAGGTAAAATTTACATGTGAATATTTGGGGTGGGCAGGGGGAGAGGAAGAAGATGGTCCCAGATTTTGTTCAGAAACTTATTGGAATAGCTCTCCTGTTGCAACTTTTTACATTGTACCCTGTTTTTTTACACTCTTCAAGGGATGCAAGTCTGGATTATAAATGAACTACAATAGACTTCTAGACTTTAAAATGCTTGTTGAAAACGTTTGTTGCTTTGAACTTGTCAGTAAGTCTTGAGGGTTTTTTTTAAAGCTGTGTGAACTAAGGCATGTGGCAAAACAAAAATCTGTTATATCAAAATGGAATAGTCCTTTCAAAACATGAGGAAAGTGGAACTTCTGACTTGATGAGTGAGAGTATTGCAGTAGTTTAAGGCAGTGTAAACTCATTACAAATATTCACCATTTTTCAGTGCTTCATCGAAAGTCAGTCTGGACCTGCACAGTTGACAGTGAGTGCTAGAAGTGAAGACCTGCTACAATCATTTTCTCGAAGTTCCCTAAATCTTTGAAACAGGGAAAGTGTTTGAATGCCCTCTGACTTGGTGGTTTTAAGTAAAAAAAGGAGCTCCCTTTAGAACTTGAAGTGACGAAAATCAAATACTACTCATGTAACAGGTTTGGCTAATATTTCTCTGCCTTCTGAAAACTGAATCAGTGTACTTTAACAGTCCAATCTTTAATAAGCAAATAAGCTAAATGAGTTTTCTTTTAAGAATGCTTCTGTTTTCCAATATTCACGATTCTAAAGGTTAAAAGCAAGCAAAAGTCACCAAGAATGTTACTTAGAGCTAATGTGAAGCTTTTAAAGACTTAAAAAAAGCAAAATTTTAAGCAGGTACTAGCAAAGAGGGAGGATATTTTCTGCACAAACTTTGACTTCGCATTGAAGGGATAGGGAGATGGTGATTCACAGAAACCCAGTACACAAATCAAAATAACTAAAATGTTTTTCATCAAAATTGTCTTTAAAATTTCAGGGTTGTTTGTGTCCACAAAACCCTGTACCTTGACTATATTTTGATGTTAATATCACCTGCAGAGGAACAAAACACCTGTGCATTGTAAATCAAACCAGAACAAAGCGATGTGTGACCTCCAGCCCTTACGAGTTGTACTGTGGTGCCACAGAGATACTGCAGAGAACCAGAGCTGTAGGGTGTCTGCAGTTCTTTCTTGTACAGCTCACTAATGGTGCTTCCACAGACTCTCAGGACAGATATCTTAGTTGCTAATTGCAAAACCTGTGGTAGCTGTACAGGACTTGCTAGTTTTAAGCTGTGAGTAGTAAACTTGGTTTAACCAACTGCTACTGCTCTTGGAGCTGTGCTGCAGGTTTTATGGTTTGAATGGACAGTGGTGTCTCTTAGTGTAGACAGAATCCAGGAGTGAGCTTGCTGACTGTTCTCTAAGCTGTTCAGATGGATGAGAGGTAGCTACATAAAATATGTAACTTTCTATAATGGATTTTCCAGAAGGAAGATAATAAGAATCCTAACTGGTTCCAAATGTTTGGCATATAAAGAGCCAACAAATAAATCATTTATCAGTGTCAAAATGACTGAAGAATATAACAGCTATACTTCAGAAAAAACAAATCCAGTTCCTGTTCTTGCCTAAACATTGATTATAGTACTGAGAATATGTATTTTCTAAAAGAAAAAAAACACAAGACAACCCTAGATCTATATGACCTGTTGCTTACAGAGAAGATAAATGCACATATAGAGGAAGTATTACTCTGTACTGAAGGAAAGCTGCTTCATCAGATTTCTGACTTGTTTTGAGCCATTTAAATCAACAAAGCTGCACAGCAAAACTGCACTGCTAGAAAAAGCCACCCTGTTCACTGTAGGGAAAGAGGGTCTTCATATGCAGTATGCAACCAAAATGTACTAGTAAGACTACAGTTTTTGCAACATAACTCTGTGTTGGGATTTGTTTTCACTCATACAAGCAAAAGCAAACCAAGCTTTAAGTAGCCTAAACTAGCTAACATCTAAAACGCTGCTTAAATGTAGTTTGCCATTATCTGAAAGTCACTTTTGACCATTGAAATATTTTGTTTTACAGTTGGTTTGAGTTTTGTTTGGATTGTTTCCTAATCTTAAAAGGGTCTTGATGTTTGTAGTATGCATTTTCTTTTGCTGCAGTGAAAAGAAGTTGCTTGTTGAATAAAAAGAAAAGCATGAAGGCACTCCTTTCAAAAAATGGAGACACTAGAAAACTTCTTATTTTCTGGTTCTAAACACAATATTTGTACACTTTCATCTGGAACCTTTTTTAACAATAGTCTCGGTGCTCCAATGCAGGGCTGTCAGGTTTTACTTCAGCAAATAAAACTGTATCAGCCTGAATGGTCACTCCTCATTAAGAGTTTGACATTGTTGCACAGCATATTTAATGCTAAATTTTTTTTACCTATTTGTTTGGTTTGCATCAGTTTCCCTTTGATATTACTAATTTTTATACAAAGTGTTCAGTATTTATTCTTAAACTTTGCTCTGTACCACAGAAAGACAATTGTTTTGTAAAATTTGTTTTGAATAAACAGACTTATTTCTTTTAAAAAAAAACCAAACAGTACAGCAGAGGTAAATATCTCTTGTTGCTTTCTTTGTAACTGACAGCATCAGCTTTGATGCTTTTAAGTGTTATCCCGAGTTCCCTCTCTCGAGGGCTTCAAACTGTCCCCTCCCCCCACCTTCCTTTCTGTTCTACCTTGCACCAAACCTGCCCTCAACAAAGGGCAAAATCGGTGTTTCCCAGGAAAGAGACAGCTCACAAATTTGTGGACCAAGCTTCTGGGTCTAAAGTTGTGTAGAACTGCTAGATATTAGAAGCTTAACCTGTTGTTATTTGTATGTTCTCTTTAGGCAGTTGTTCCTCTGGAGATGTGTATTTATCTCCACAAGATTTCAGGTCCTACTTTGCACCTTTCGAAAACTAGTTGATGGTTTGGGGACCAGACATGGTATTTTCCTAGGGTATAATTAAATTCAGATAATGATGATTTGTATGTCTCTCCAATTTGTCTAACATAATGTATCAACCTAAGGTTTTTACAAATGGAGTCTTTTGCATCAGGTAACTTCAGTGTATACCTGTGTGAGACAGAGGCATAATGTAAGTATGAATTATCTAAATCATAGTGAAGAAGAGAACAAAGCAAATGAAGTCAGTGGGGATTGTGTCATTTGGCTTCTTGCAGGGTGGGTTTTGTTGTGGGTTTTTTGGTGTGGGTTTTTTTTTTTTTTTAATTGCTCCCTTTGGCCTAGAAACTGTGCAGTTCAGCTAAATTAAGCTGTTTACTTGGTACTTTTTGTTGAACTAAGCGACTTAAATATTTGGTGCTTTAGAATATATCATTAATAATCTTTTTCTCAAGACTGCAGAAACTCTAGCATGCATTTAAAAAACCCAGAAGCTTCTCAGAGGCATATAGTTAAATATGAACATTCTGAACACTGAGATGGTCTTTAATACTGCTTTTTTTGAACATACATGCAAGGCTTATTCTAATGACTTATTTTCTTACATCTTGTAATTAATGTTTTTAAGAAAAAAAAATGGAAAAAAACCCCAACCCAAACAAAAGATAAATCTTTCTTGCTTTTCCATCTGATAGACTGGGTATAAATGCATGGCTGTAAGCATTTCAGTGACTTCATTACAGATAATTATTTATTAATCTTGATGAGCTTCAAAGAATTCATAGAGAGTATACTATAAATGCAATAATTTGCATTCTAAGAAGGAAAAAATATACTAGCTCATGTGTGCAGCCTTACCTCCTCCTTGTTGACAAGTTCTCATCACTCTCACTGGTCACCAGGACTCTGCTAGATCCTCCTTGACTTGCTTCATGCATCACCTCAATCTGAATAAGAAGGACATGTTAAAAGTGAAAATACTTAATTGCTGATGCTTTATTTAGAGCACTTTAGCTCTTTGCAAGAATAAAAAACAGATCCTACCTAACCTAGCAAGTCACTAGACAATTTAAAATAATTGAATTCTATATGTGCAGGTTTTAAATCAAGAATACCTCTTGTCTATTTTTATTCTGCTTCCTTGCTCAGTGTTGGCATGGGAGGCATTCCTGACTCCAGGCGAAGTCGTTGTGTTCTTGCACCATAGAAGGTGAATTATTTCCTTGTGTAGATAATTACAGGCATGATAGTCTGTTACTTAGACTTTGAAATGCTGGTTTTTTGGTTTGTGTCTCAAGCCAAACCAAAGACTTGACATTTTCGGAGTTCTTTGTAGGGTGCATATGGAGAAAGCTGGGAGTCCATCCTGTGCCTCTGAGAAGTGTTTGTGTCCCAGGAGCAGTGTTGGTAAGACAGTGCTGAGCACGTGTTTGTGTGCAGGGGCTGTCCCCAGGCTGAAATGGAGCTTTTTGATTGCTCCAGTATTTATTTTGATATATTTGTCCAGTCTTGCAGAGTTGGATCATTTCAGGTGTGCTCCAGGAAAGTTTTAAGCAGGTTTTTCCTCCTTTTGCTTTAAGAGCACCAAGTACTACTTGGACTTACTCAAAAGCCAAAATCTTCAAATTTAGTAAAAAAACCCAGCTTCTGAGTTTGCAGTTAATCCAAGCCAATATCTAAACTCCAGCAGAGTCTTTTAGTTCCTGAGCACTTTCATTTTTAATGGCTGATTCTGGAGGGGAAAAGTATCTTACATTCAATATTGCAAAATTATTTAGGTGGTTGATGATAATGATGGATCCATTAATAAGCTGTCCTCACCTGAACTATTATCAGAACAAAGGAGAACCAGCTCTAGGTTCCTGCTGATAACTGAATTTTATTCTGTGTTTATTGCTGAAGATGTGGACTGTTCTGGCCATTTCAGAAGATGGACCAAGTTTAATTTTTAGTTTCAGCTTCAGGGAAATTTAGATGAAATGTATGAGCAAGTCAGGGGTGTGGATAACAGAAGAGCTGGGTTGAAGTAGCTTGTATTATATCAAAAATTGAATAATAGAATTTTGCCAGGTAGACATTTGATACATTTTTTAGCTTTCCAGGCCTTCTGGTAACACTTCCTCCCTGCTAAACATTCCCATCCCCCCAGAAAAGGAAAAACAAACAGACAAGCAAAAAAAACCCCAAACTGGTTTTGGCCTGTGTGTAATTCCTGCACTAACAAGATTAAACCATTTTTTAATATTTAGATGAAAGTAGCACATCCATGTTTGGGTGTCACTAGTGTAAGAAGTGCTAGTGTATGAGGAGTTTTGGTCTGTGAATTATTAATTAAAATCAGAAACTCTAAAATGCTTATTTTACAAAAACCCTGTGTAATAGTGGACTAAACTGGAAAAGGCACAGAGAACTAATAAAATGTGGTCTCTGTTATTGGATGTGTTCTCATATAGAGCTCACCTTTAAAAATCCCTTCTAAAATAACTCATGAACTATGAAAAAGTTAAAAACTGTAAGTGCAGGGACTATTGTGTCATCTGTTCTCCTTCTATATAACCTGTTTTAAGTTGAGGTATTTATTTTCCCCAGAGATGTACTGAAAAAGCTTATTCCCTTCCTCTTCCTCTCCCCCAAGCTGCTGAACAATATGAAAAAGGCTACTTGCTGTTTCCATCACACTTTCATGAGGCACCCAAATGAAGATCATACCTCATACCACCCAACTTGTTTCACAATTCTTTTTGAACATTCATTGCATTGTTTCCCTTACATTCAGGGCTTATGTTTTCTTTCTCAAAACATACCTTAAATTGCATTTTTTACCATTTTAATGATATAATGGTCTAAAGAGCCAATAATATGAATCTTCAGGCAAGTTGCAAGAAAATCTGGGCAAAGGGCTACTGTTATTTAAAAGGCTGTGAGTGTACAGCACTGTGTATGATTTGACCTCTTATTTTTAGTAAACTTAACTAAAGGGGATGTTGGCAAAGGTATGACATTTGTGCACAGACCATTCAGAATATAACCTCACTGGTATTCTTCTTATCTCTCCCAGGCGTATTTACATGGTCTAAACCCAAACATTCTAAATAAGATAAATGAGGTATTTGCTTGAATTTGACAGGGGAAAAGAAGAAAGAAGTCTGTTCTCTGAAAGTGGCTATTTCAGCTAGCTTGGGCAAATGAAAACTTCTAGGATGCAGCTGCAGTTCATCATAGTTTCAAGACCTGCAGATGAATGGAGTATCTGAAACCTGTTTCCAGTGTTAAAATACACAAGGAAGGCCAAACAGCTATTTTTGGTAGCTTATTAACCCAGTCAGTGTCTACAGCTCAAAGCAAAGACTCTCTGCTGTAAGGGCAGGATTCTTACATGCTGTCAGGCTTGGGAATAGAGAGGAAAGGATAAAGATGTCCAAACAATCTTAAATAGATTCTTGTTGTGGAAAGAATAGTGCAAGAAATCTCATCACAGAGACACAAATGCCAGATAGCTTTCCCTGAAGGTTACTTGCCTATGCAGGCACAGGTAACAGTGGATTTTCTTGGGTATTGGCTGGTTTATTCCTAAGTATTACATGTCTAGTTTTAAATCCTTTACATAGAAATTACCCTTAGAAAATATTTAAATGAGGAAAAATCTATAACTTTGTAAAACCCTGAACATAACACAACTTGAGCTGAATCGGATTACAGTTTTAGAAACAAAGTAGTTCACGTGCTATAAGGGAGGATGGGCACTTTGGCTGCATTTTAGTATATTATTGTTGGACATTTCTTCCACATTTCCACTTCCATCCTTTGAAGATGATTTCTCCTTTAGTGTAACTTGGTTTTCCATAAATGCTTTTTAACGCTATCATCTGAGTAACTTTCAAACTGCAATGTGGAGTGTAAAAAAAATCCTTATCAGAGAGTCAACTTAGAAATGTTCGATTTTTTTTTTCTTTTTTAATTCCAAGTGAGTAAACCTATATTTATGTGGTCTTGAGTTCTCTCATAATATGGGATGTCCCCAAATCACAGGTAATCCTACCTTAATTCCACCTTTAGTCTTCTTAATGCTTTTCTTTTTTGATAACTCTACTTCAGAAACTGTCTTTGGAGGGCAGGAAATTTCGGTGGACCTCCTGTTGGTAGCTGAAGGAGTCAAAAAGAGAGTAACATTAGAAAATGTGCGCTGAAAGTTGAAATTCTACTTCCTAATAAAAGCAATGAGCAAAGATCCCAACACATCAGTAGTAACTGAGACCTGGCTTAGAGAACTGAGTTGTGGCTGGGGTGGCAATGGACCAGCTGGCACAAGGGATGGGCCACCTTGTTCAGTGCTCAGATTGGCATCCAAAGCTCCACAGTGTAATGATTGGTTTGGCTTCCCCTGGGAAAACCATCTTTAGGCCAGCACAGGTAAATGTCAGCCAGCTGTATCATCACTTGGGTAATTGTCACTTGCACAGTGTTGCTTGTGTGGGTTCCCAAAGAAAGGAAGTTTTGGTTCTGGTAATGGTTTGGCAATGTTGGATTAAAGGATGGTTCCCTGAATGTTTTCATTACATGAACAAGTCTCGAAAGAGTAATCCCAGGAGTTCAGCAAGTCACTGTGACACGGATATAATAATAGTGAACCTGAGGAAGCAATTGCAGAATATGGTCTGTCATGTCAGGTTTGAGGCACTTTGCAGGCTCTGCAAACCACAGCTGACAGTGAGGTGTCTGATGCTACTGGACAGTCATCCTTAACAACATAACCACTTGTCCTGAGCCTGCTGTCCAAAGGAAAGGTTTACAATGAACTGTGAGAAGGGGAATCATATATTTTGCTTGAGAAGAAAATAATCTCTGTTACACTTTGTATCTGTTTTACATTGATAACGAGCTCACAGCACACACTATATAAGCACAAGGCAGTCAGCTCTCTTCTTTTTCTTAGTTGCTGAATTGATATGAGCAACATTCATGTCATGGTAAAAACACAAACAAAGCCAGAAGAAATGGTGAAAAAACCTGGGCTAGAAGAACAAAAAAGAAAAAAAAAAAAAAAACAAAATTGCTGCAATTCTGAGATAAGGTCCATTTCATTTTTATCCTGGGAAAACTTTCTAATTGAACAAGAACTTGTTTTCAAATGCATCTGGTAACATTTTGAGATGGTTTCACCAAGTTTAATGTTTTGAGGCATTGAGAGTCCTGGTGGTAATTAATAACTTTTTGGGGAGAAGCTGAGGGGTGCAGTAACAAAGATGCAGACATCTTTGAGTGAAGAGGCTGTAGTTTCAAAGGATTCATGTAGGAGGGGGTTGAACACTTTTTAGAGAAGAAACACAACAAAGTTTCAGATGCCCTTGTCATTAAATTCTTCTTTCAAGGTAGTTTTAGAAAAGGCAAAAAAGGCACATAGAAGCACCCAAATTATATTCAGTTAAAAAGACAACATATCAGTTTCACAGACAACAGTAGTGGAAGTTGACGTTTTTTCTACTCTGTGTCTTTTCAGCAGCCTTATCACACAGCTGGGAAGAGAATTAATTAAAGCGGCTTCTCTCCAACTCTTCTCTAAATCTTCTTGGATTTATCCAATGCTGAATGACATGAGGACTTGGCAATGTCCATTTCATGCCTATTACCTCTGCACAATGACTCTATACTAGAAGGTTTCCTCAATGGAACAGTGAAATCTGGCAGCCACCAGCAGCTATAATCAACTGCTAGAGGATTCTCGTGGTTCCCAGGACTGAGCTGAAATGCAAATGTCGTTTCTCTTTGGCTCTTCCATCACTCTCTTTCAGAATATACAGCAGGGGATTTGTTTTGATTTTGAGCACTACTTTCAACAGATGCTTTTTTCCCACCCCAAGAAAGCTTTCCCTGAAGTAGTAATTGTTCTCTCAAAGGTATTTTTATTTCACCCCAAAAGTGGTGTACTGACATTTTGAAACCAAGGGGACAAAAAGATGCAAGATAAAGCATATAGAAGCTATTGATCCTCATTGTCAAAGTTCTTCCTACCTTTCTAATCTGCAAGAAGGATGATTTATACTGTTGGCAAAACCAGAATACCAACCTTCATCAACTATTTGATAAGTTTTCAAATGGGTCCTTTTATGGTTTCCCCCATGAATGCCTGAGTAAAGTGGTTATAAGCATTAGCAAATTCACTCTTTTCCATACTAATGCACCCTGGAGATTCTATTTAGCCTTAAATTCTCATCTACCACCATCTTGACAAAATGCAGATTGTGATCGTACCTATCACACTAAACACTGTTATCTCCTGGAGCTTCTCCCATCTATATCCTATTTATACCTTGAAAAATCAGCAGTAAAAGAAATAAATCTAGGACTTGACTACCAAGACATTGTTTCATACTCTTAATAACACACAGGCATCCTGAATACCCTAGATACTCTGCCAAGGTCTAGCTGCCCTATCTAAATCTGGGTTCAGTCCACTGGATTGTTCTACAAAGCTAATTCAGAAATTTTATGGATGTGTTGTGGAAAGAAATGGAAGCAAAGGAAATAACTTCAGAAAACATGACAACTTTTGCTTAGAAAGCATAGTCAGCAATACCATGTTGTTTGACATTATCATTAATCAGAAGACTTGAGAGGACGGTTGATACTGGTATGAAAATCCTGGCTGAAAGCAACCAGCAGAAAAAGTGGAAATCAGTTAAAATTTTGATGTCTGGATCACAACTTGCAAATTCAGACAGCTCCAGGTGATCCAGAACAGCTTAAGTGAAAGATGGCACATTCACAAGAAGCCCGAGTGCAGGTGCTCCTTGATCCAGCAGCAATTACTCAGGTCAGTTCACTAGGTTAGTCTTGGCTTCTTCAGTGTGAGATATTTCAGGAAAGGAGGCAGGTGCAAAGATAAGAAAGACAAATTCAACTGCATATATTTCAGAGATGAATTTGATTCAGATTGACACAGCGAACTTCCCTTTCCAGTTTGACCCAGAAATGAACTGAGAGCAGGCAGCAATCTGTTTTGGTCATGCTCCAGAGAATTTGTCAGTTATTGACTGGCCCATAGTCAGAGACTGCTGCACGTCACTACCTTTAAGTAGTTTCTGGAGCACCTTAGAAAGAAACAGCCAAAATACCTGCCAATTATTATTGCACTAATTACTGTGGAACTGGAAATATAAGGGAAACTCCCTTATAAAATTCAGCACAGTTGGCTGTTTCAAGGTCAGTACTGTATTGTACTGCTGAGGAAGTTGAAAGTTAAAGTGTTGAGCTGCCTACTGAAAGAATAAAGACACAGGAACAAAGGAAGACAAGTGGGGTGTCTCCTTGTAGAATAATATTCCACATAGAGGAGCCTTGCTTTGTGCTTCTTATATTGCCAGATTTTCCAGGGGTTTGACAGCAATTTTGCTAGAGCAAAGAAATATAGATTATATTGCCTAAAAATGGAAAAGTCTGCACTAAGCCATTGAATGATAAAGCAAAGATGCTCTGGTGTTTCTTTAGCTGCCTAAACATTCTGTTTTGTCATCACCACAATTCAAAACAATGATTTTGTCATAAATGATCTTTGAACTCACGTTTCCTGTTGGACAGCAGGAGCAGCAAAGCCCAATAAAGTTTAGCAGACTAGTTGTTTCCATGCCTGTTCTTGCCAAAGGAATTTGATTCTGCTGTAGGTGATTAGTGAGAATGCACAAACTCACACAGAAAACATATGGGGAAAGATGTGATTGGGAAATTCACGCAAAACCTGAATGTAAAGCATTTATTTGAGGGGGTCTTTGAATGCCTTACAAGTGCTGGGCATGTATTATAACCCTTGACTACAGAGTCTGTGTCTCTTGCTGGCTAATGAGTTACACTTATTCAATATCTTGAACTATAGAAACGAGTGGTTTCTCAAACCATTAATGAAAACCACATGCAGCATCTTTTCTGAGTCAGCTAATCTGTCTGCAGCCTCACTTCCCCTGCACACATCCCCAGACTCTTGCAAGACATTCTTCCTTCATCCCCTATCCAGATGTTATTAGTTAGTGAGTGTTATGCACTAGTGACTGTGAGGAATGCTGGAATGGGTCCAATGAGCAGTTGTATACATTTAACTGAGATGGAACCAGCTTAAGTTATATTATTTAAAGAATTGAAAAGGCTCCAGCTGTGTTCCCCCATATGAATCTCAAGTTCCAAGCTGGCCTTCTAAGATGCTTCTATGGTGAGTCATGGATTTTGTATGTGCAATGTGCTTTTAAACATGTTATTTGTTTAATGAGCTCACAGAAATTTTGACATCTCTGCTCCTGTATTTCACATTTATGTTGCACACAAAGAAATCTACCCATGAATATTTTATAGCACTTTGTACTGCCATGTTCCAGCTCTCACCACAAAGATAACTAAAGTAAGACAATTTTCCTAACCATGGTCGCAGGATGGCCAAATAACCTTTTACTGAAGTTTTCCAAGAATGTGTCAGGCTGAGAAGATAGCCTTTGGGAAAGTTTCATTTCGAAGAGTTAGAGTTTGGGATAATTACAAGCAAATTAAAATAGAGAAATGCTAACTGCAATCATCCCTAATAGCTTGTATTCTCCTTTACAGTTCTGTAATTTGTCTCTAATCTGTGCCTGACAGCCTAGAGGCAATTCTGGCCTGCATGGTTTGACTTTGTGGACCTATCCCAATTCACTCCAGCTAAGGAGTTTTGTACAGAAATGCAGAAAACAAATATGTAGTCAAATCATCAAAAATTATGCCCTCAGAAGTAAATCAGCAAAAATATTTCCCTATGAAGTGCCAATTCTCTCCTCCCAACACATACAGGGACAAGTTTAGCCATCAGCAGTATTCAAGCAGCTTCCATTGGGAGTAAAGAGAGTTGTCCTTAAAATAAGGTGTTATATATGCTACTTAAATATTTTCAAAGCACTCATTATAAAAAGGTCAACAGAGGGGTTTATGCCTTTTCTGGGTTGATCTGTGAATAATACTTAAGCAGATTCTCACAGCTAAAATGTGCACCAAGTCCAGCTGGCACAGACTTTGGAGCATCACAATAATTCCAAAACTAGTTTTTCAATGTTGAACAGGCCTGTCCCTGCAAAATTTGAAAGCTCATTTGCGAAACCAAAAGCTTCAAGCAAAATTGAGATTAATCTAAAATTTTGCTTCAGAACTTCCAGACCCACAGCGTTGAGTGAAAAGTGCTGAGTGAGGGAGAGTTTACAGCAGCTCTGAGCTGCCTTTCTGGATCTTCACTAAGCTTAGAGTTTGCTGAGAGTCAGTCACCAGTGACCATAAGGACACAGACATAACCTGTGACAGTCATTTCCCTGATGGAAACCTGCCCTTCCTCTCAGACATAGTATCAGCTCTGCCTGTGTGCACCTATGTATTTGTCCATGTAAAATGGAGAGTCTGACAGTATTTCATGTCTGAGTCTTCATATCTGTGAAGATTTTTCCATTAGCACCCTGAATTGGATTGAATTTTCCCTACCACTCCTTGTTTGGAAAATGGATAGTCAGCAAGGAAAACCAAAACAAAATCTATTCTGGAACAAACATAACTTCTTTTCCTTTCACAGACAACCATTGCAGTGCTGCCATGGTATTGTTACTCTGTTGCCTGGGGACAAAAGCCTTTCTTTCTAGTCTTCTATTTCTGTTTACAACATTTTATTGCCTTTGCCTGCTTTTATATTTATGCAGCCTAGGAACATGGCATTTTCTTGTTGCCATATTCTATTTTGCAAGCTTTTAGAAATATTCAGGTAAGTCCTGGCTAAAAAATGACAATGAGTTACAGTATCTGTTTCAAAAAGGTGCTCTAAGCCTCTCTCATGTTTCCAAGATGTTGCTCAATAAATTCTCCCCATAAGTAAATGTTGATAGTGCATTGATCCCGTGAATGTGAAGAAAGGACACAGAGGAAAGTCCAAAAGAGGGTAGCTTCAAGAAGAGCAGAATTTCGCAGCCTCATTTTCAAGGCTTGGAATAGGACTCAGTGTCCCTGTTTCTATTCTCAGACACATTTGAGAGTCAGACTGCAAAATGCCTTGGTAAATCAGTTTGTCTGTGCTTCAGTTTTCTTTCTGAAAAAAAAAAAAGAGGTTAAAATACTGACCAGTACTTGCCAAGTGCTTTGGCATTCTGAGGGAAAGGGCACTCAGGAATTTCAAAGTATGATTCTTGGTAGCTGACAGCTGGATAACACCCAAAGGATGCCATTACACAGAGTATATGAATGTACATGTACTATTCACAGCTGTTAAAGTAAGCTGTGATTGTGAGCCCCTGGATAAGCTGTAGATAGTCAGGGTTTGTTTCTTTGTACAGAGGTACTCTCGGTCAGGCACCTTCAGGAACCCGAATGAGATTTTACAATCTACTTATCAGTGTCTGAACAGGACTGAGTTGCACTTTGCACCTTCTAAAAGAACAACCAGAGTAACATTTAAAAATAAATTTCATCTCCCTACTATTTTGCAACAGGACATTAGAGGCTAATCCTTGTCACACAGTTATCCTGTATTGGGTTGTAAAACCCTGAACTGCAATGCAAGGGACAGAGCAATGGAGCATCTCATGATTTTCTGTGAAAGAGCTGATAGTATGGGATTGGTTGTATGAACAAGAATCAAAACTTAGAGCACTGTCACGTATATACTAGTGACTGTTCTATAAGGTTATGTCTATACCAACAATTTAATTAAAAAATCTGGAAGTGCTTTAAAATGACAAGAAAGAAATTCAAGGAACAAAATCAGAGACTGCATGCATAAACTAAAGCAAGATTAGCTTTTAGCCTGAAGATGCAGTTTCACAATAGGTGAAAGCCATCCTCAAATGGTACTTGCAGTACCTAACTGCCTCTGACCTGCTGACCCCATACCCCCATTTTCTGCATCTTCCTTTTCTCCAGCACTAGTGAATGATCACAGCACTCAGTGAATGTGATCAACTCGGACTTAGTGCTGGTTGGAGCAGGGGACTGGGGTGCATGAACTCCACAGCTCCCTGCATTTCTGTAACTCATGCCGTGGAAAAATAACTACTACATTTTTACAGTCTGTTGATTGAGTTTTCAAGGCAAATCACAACTCCTACGGCAAACTGACTGCCCACCTCAGTGCAAGAGCACATTGCTGGAGGATATGTGTGTGGCAGAGCAGGACCTCTTCACATGCATTGTGTTCTCAGCTTGCCTTAAGCCAATAGTGAAGCTGAAACTTGAGGTAGCAGCTGTATGTTAAGAACATGTTAAGCTAGTATGGTTTGGTAGGGGGGAAGTACAGATGTCAAACTAACATGGTAACAGGAAGAAGATGATTTTCCTTGGTAAGAAAGGATTAGGGTTGCAGAGCAGAGGAGAACAGGGACACTGGTGTGACCTCCTGCTGATATCCCTAGAAAGCAAAATGGTCAGGCTACTGGCCATCCTAGTCTTCCTGTTGAGAAAGCAGTTTACTGCAAGCTCTTCTTGCAAATTGATTTTTTTAAAAAGCTTTTTGGTAAAGGTTCCCCTTTTAAAAAGCCCTACAATTCCAAAGGGTCAATGCCTTCTTGCCACCAAGCACAGCCACTGGTCTCCAAGATGCAGTGTCTCAAATTAGCTTCACCCATGTTCCTTTTGCAGAAAACAGCTATCTTGGTTAAAGGCACGTGAAAACTTCAAATCAGGAACTTTCAGTAAATTCCAAACAGAAGCAACGTTCAACTTTTATAGTTAGCAGAGGACAAACTAGAAAGTGAATGAACATCTGTGTAGAGGGGAAAAAGCAAAACTTCCACAAATGAGGCAGTGTCACTAGCAAACCCTTAATTTGGCAAGTATCTGATTGAAACTTGAGGTATTGTGACCTTTTAAAGATGAATATTCACATTACAGTATGTGCAATGTAAAAGAGGTTCTCATGCTTACTTTCCAGGCTTGCAGTGACTACCCTGGCTTGGGTATTCAAGAACTGGCAATATAAGACACACTGGGAAACAGTATAGAAATGTACTCTGTAGATTAGACCTAGGAAGAGAAACCTGAGTTTTTTTGTTGGTTTGTTGTTGGTTTGTTGGGGTTTTTTTGATTCACCCTTGTCTGTATGTTTGTAGTGACAGATATTTCACATTCATTTTTCATAGCTGGACCTACAGGGCTGACGCTGCACATCAAGTGCAAGTCTTCATTCTGATAACAAAAATTAAACATCGCCATGTGGACAAAACATTGGTGTGTGTCTGAAAGTAACTGCTCATGGCCTACCTACTGCTGCTGGCCTGGTAATCTTTGGTGATGCTCGTTTTGGGGAAGATTCAGGATGTGGAGCAACAGGTTGTACTGGCCGGGTCTGTTTGGCTGCCAGCTTCTTCAAACTTACTTGCCTCTTGTCAAACATTTCTTGTACATCTTCAAGTTTTTGTACAATTCTTTGGGCGTTGGCCTTGATAAAGAAAAGGTAAACAACAAACACTTCTCAGTGCTGGACTAAGTTAAGAAAGTACTTGTGTTACCAGACAGACTAGAGCTGAAGATGACACTGTGCTGCAGTTTAACGCAACCCAGTCCACACACTCCACAGACATCACAGTTTCACTGACCAAGACATGGTGACTCAGGCAGTATTTCTGACACTGGTCTGAAGAAAATCACATGTGTTCCATGACTACTTATACGAGCAAAACTCATTGCCCCAAGGGCTCACCTCTGTGCCCTTTTGGAATAGGGAAAGAGGCATATTTTAGCAGACTCAAATATATAGCCCAGTACACTCTCAGGTACAAAGCATTTGGTAATTTTTTAATTCTAAGTGAATGCATGCACATCTGAGGGGTTTTACCTTTATTTCAGGGGTGAGGATCATGTCAAACTGATTGTAGAACTCCTTTGGGTTAGAGAGCTGGTGTTCCTTGGCTGTTACCAGGAACTTCTCAATTTCAACGAGTGCAGTTTCAGCTCCCTCTTGTGACTGGCACTTGTCCACAGCTTGGGAAGCTAAGAGGTAGATTCCAGCTTCACACCATTGGCTTGCCTTTAAAGAAAAATGGGGGAAGGACTCATCATCACTGACAGTCCATGTCGTTAAGTATTGCTTCTACTCTGTGAAATACAGATTTGCCCTAATATGTCACTAAAAGGGATGGATGTTACTTCCTAGCATGCCATAGTTCCTGCCCAAGTCATCCCACCAGGATATGTAGAACTGGACTCGCTGAACTGAACTTGCTGTTCAGTTCAGCTCTCATGGGCTAGATGGTCCAGTAACATGTAAAAGAATAATACTCTGAGCAAAGAGGAAAAGTGTTATTGCAAACCGAATCTCTCAGCTGTACTACCTCATTTGAGTGTTCAGTCACATAATTAACCCAAAAATTGAAACCATATCAAAACTCTCCAAAACTTTTTAGGCCTATGAATCTCAGTTAGAAATACTCCAAAGAAGGTTTACATTGCTGGAATAGCAAACAAACATTCTCAAAGCATTTATCTTGCTATTCTAGCTAGATCAGAGAAACTGAAAACTAACACGTGGTAAATTGTTAATTTTTAAGCACTAGAATACATTTGGTTCTCATTTCAAATTTAGGTCTAGCTCAATTTTCCTTAGTTTATTTCCTATTTTTCATCATTTTAAGACCATACTTATGAGAATCTACTGCTCCAATGTTTCTAGTTATATTTACTGAATGAAACAGAGAAAAAACAAACACAACTTTTTATCTTCATCGTAATTACCTGAGCTTATAAAAACATTCATTTTCGGTAGAACCTTGGCAGGGCTGTTACCTGAGAAGGTTTGCTCACCTTATCTAACTGCTTATGCAGCTCAAGAGACTTTCCCAAAATATCATACTTTTTCTTGGTCTCATTGGTAAAGTCATCACAAATCCGCCTGAGTTCAACACACTTTGGTCTAATGGAGTCAACTGCATAATGATTGTTTTGGATGAGCTGTTCTCCATGAAGAGCTAGAGACTGAGCCTTCTCCAAAGGTTCCTGTGAAATTAATGAGAAAAATCCAAAGTTAGATCTTAGAATGACATTTATAATAATGACAGTCCATCTCTATAATCCCTGCTGTAGCCTGAGTGTAAAGGTTTGGGATATAAATATAGCTGATGTCTTACTTTATATTTACATTGAAGACCAACTTTATTGTCAGTGAGTACATTGAAACTTGAGAAGTTCCATCGGAACATCAAGAAGCACTTTTTTACTGTAAGGGTGAACAAACACTGGAACATGTTGCCCAGAGAAGTTGTGGAGTCCAATTCTTCTTTCTCCATACCAGGGACATTCATTATACAAGTTTTTTCCCCTGCTTTTTTCCCCCGGCTTTCCAAGAAACGAACTGGAACTACTGGGTCTCAACAACCCTGGATTCTGGAAATTAGGATCCGAGTTTGCAATTTAAAATAATGACTCATGAGAAGAGAGTAAATGGGATGGAAGGACAGTGACAAAGAAGTGTCTGGAATACCATGTCTATAGCAGCTAGAATACTAAATTGAGTGCAAACCTGTCCTTTCTCTTCCAGATGTTTCTGTTCCTTTAGGAGGTGCTCCACTCGAGTCACACTGTCCCCAATGTCAGCAAAACCTGCTTGTGCTTCCATGAGGTTATCCAATGTCAGTTTTACCTAAAAAACAGCAACAACAAAAGTATAAAACCAAAACAGTAAAACCAAAACAAAATAAACCCACCCAAAACTTTACCACAAGATACTCATAAAATTACAACAAACATTCATCTATATCTTTGAAAAGAGTCTGCATCTCAAATTTAGTCTTTCAGCTTGTTCCAAATTGGAAAAACCAGGGAATAAAGCAACAATCAACTATTCTTCAAAGAGCTGCCCTGTTTCTCACTGTTTAGGCCCACGCAGTTTTGAAAACCTGTAACTCCAGAGTCTATATTACTCCAGAATCTGTATTACTCCAGTCTCTGGGCTGACAGTTGGGCTTTCTGAACTGTATTCCCTTGACTCTGGTGGAATTGGCAACTTAACATCACAGAAGAAATTATATTTGATAACTTCACACATAAATGTAAAATGGTTTATCAAGAAGTTGGTGTTTCACATTTTGGCCTCACAGTCTGGCACTTTCCTCACTGGGCTTTATTCAAATGTTGTAAGACATCTGATAGCTGCCAAAAATTTAATTTTTGAAAACTCAGTTCTTATTTCATAATGAAGGGCTTCTCTCCCAATCTTCTTTTTGGATTGCCAGTATACTTTAGGTATGGGTAAAATTTGACCTTATTTACCAGAGAAGACTAGACAGCATGAACAAATGAAGTACCTCTCTAAAATCATGTTCAAAGTGTCGAAGCTGCAGGCACTGTTCTAGTTTTAGATGATGTTTGGTCCAAAATTGATCAAAAGCCTTTTCTGTTTCATCCAACTGAGCCAACAACCTGTTAAGAAATTATAATGAATAGAATGTACTTATTTCCTATGGTTCATTTCTTTTAAGTTACACTAACTGGTGGCAGAAAGCAGAGCAGGGAGATGGTGGGGAGCCTACACTCATGTAAGAGGGCTCTGTGTCAACTCTCCCTTAAGCAAAAGAGAATTAAATTTGCAGTGGGATAGGCAGGAGTATGATGGGTGAGTGACAACTACATGGATCCACTGTGGCAGTTGCAGTCCTGCCTCCTGACCTGCAACAAGGACTCAGAGCTGTTCCATGCTCTGGCAGCCAAGGGCAACTGTAATCCCAAGCTTCCACCCAATGCTTCAAAGATAATTCACCCCCAACTGATGCAGACTGAATGTGATGCAATTATTATTTTATGGAATGTTTAAAGCAGAACTCTACAACTTGTTCATTTTTTTCACCCATCAGAAACAGGCAAGGACTGAATCATTTTTCCCAGTCCATTAAAAACAATACATTAGAAGCTCATAATGACTCCCATGGACATTATTTTGTGTAAATGATGAAACATTTATTTGCAAAGAAATTAATATCAAGGTGTCATACATCTTGAGTAAAATGTCTAAAACCAGACTAGTGAGTCATCTGCACAGTTTCTCAATGATCCATTAATTACAAAGTAGAACAGTTTAAACAAGAAGAAAAAATGAAAAGAAAGTTTTCCGTGAATATCCTGTATTTCAATAAATGGGCACTCTTTGGGCAAGTAGGGATTGGTGAGTGCTGAAATGATCAAGTTATTAGGGCAAATGACAATAGTTCCCTCCTATTTCTCTCAAAACTAAAGTTCTGTTTTCAATCTATCCCTGGAAAATGTGGTTTTAATCAAAGCTGGTTGTTGAATTCAAGATGAATTTGCAAATTCCTTTGGTGTGACTGTTAAAAGGATTTTAAAGTATTCAGTGAAAAATATCAGCTCAGCTTTACTTTTAGCAGCTTTGTTCCCAGTGAATGCAGACATGCTGAAACACTAGCATGGCATTTCTCTTTCCACTGCATCACATGGCACAGCAGAAACTTCTACATGGTGACTAAAAGCTTTATGGTAGTAACTAGCATTGTAGGAAGGAAAAGGGGTTTGTTTCTCTCTCTCTCTCTCTCTGCAGGGTATCACTTCATCTGTTTCTCCCCCAGTGATTCCACAGACATACACAAACACACACCCTCTCATCTCACAGAGATTCAGGTGCCCTTCAAATCAGGCACAGAAGTTTGGAGGACACATATGTTACAGGGAAAGTAAGTCTCATGTTAAATCTTCAGCCCAGGCAGTTAGTGGTCTGACCAAAAATTACCACAAAATTCAGGACTTGTTTGAACTCACCTTGACAGTTCAGTCAAGTAAATTCCTCAAAACCATTCCCTTCTCTGAGTTCCCTGTCCAATAAATCCTGAGTGGTTGAACCGGAGGCAATTTATAACTCGCATATTTAAATTATTTAAATTACACTTGCATTTCTTAGGAATAAATTAGCAACTTGCACAAGGTAATCTAGCTTCACTGACCTTTCTACTGTGGCTACATTTTCCAGTTCATCTGGACTGAGTTTGCTGTTGGCACTTCGGGTGACTGGCTCCCGAATGCATGTCAGCAGGGTGGCCCCCTGCTTCACTGCTAGTTTCAGCTCATCCTGAGGGAAAGAAAACAAGCCAGAAAACAAATTGTATGTACTTCTAACAACACTCACATCTCTTACATGGACAACACAGTGATGCTACGGGAGGATGCTTTCTTAGGTACTAAATATTTGGAACAAAATATAAATGCTTACCAAAGGTGATACGTTTTTCTAGAAAATGCAGAGACTAAATCTGTTCACTTTGAATAGTAGATCTATTTTTGAGAAAAGAAATAGTACAATTTCTGAGCAGACTGCATTTCTGACCAGGCAGAAATTTATTGCAGAATAAATTATTCTACCACAAATTGAATGTGTGCTGCAGATTGTTCAGTGAGCTGAGAGCCTGTGCTGACACGTTGCACTTCTTAATGGAATTTCCTTCAAACAACATTGTGACATGCTGAGCCACAGTACAACAGGTATAAGGAGTCATCCATGGAAGAAGAGTCTTCCCAGCATGAAAGATAAGTAATGAAAAGGGCAATTAGGCTGAAACATTATTATATCAGCAGATGAACCCCACATCACTGCACATTCTTCCATAAAACGTGCTGTTGTGCTAATATAGCTTAAGTAGTATTTTTTCTCTTGTGTTTAACCTAAGGTATTTGTTGACAGCAGTAATGTTTTCTTCTGATTCTTATTCTGCAAAGCTAAACTTGCCCTAAAGTTTGGTGTGGGTTTTTTTTTAAATAAAACAACCATGATTGCCTAGATCATTCTATCTATTCCTAATTATCCTCGCAGTTGCCTCTATCTGCTCCAGTTCCTTTCTGATGAACTCTTCATCAGGAGCCCATGCTATTCCAGATGTGATTCCATCACACCCCCTCATACATTAGAAGTGACATTTCCCTGTTCTATCACTCTTGAAGCTGTAAAATGTCCTTTTCCACAGCTGAATCAAATTGACCTCCTGAACCCAGGTTTCTGTCCTCCTCAGTGGCTTCCAGACAAAGGACTCTCAAGTGATGGCAGAAAATTTTGTTAAGTCACAAATCATGTACTGTTGTGCTGGAGCCATCATGAGAAGACACACTCACCTTCAGCTTGCTGTGGTGGTCGGTGTGTGCGGAGAGGAGCTCCTCTGTGCACTGCACATCGTTGGGAAGTTCAGTCTCTGCTAAGTCTGTTCCAAAGGTCTGTAGCATCTGTGCTGTTGTTTTTACTGTCATTGCAAAGTTTTCAATAGCCTGGAAAAGCAGGAGCATAAAGTCACAAACTTTAACAACAGCCCTTTAACAACACTCAGTCCTTCAGGCACACTGTGCTGCAAGTATTACATGCCTGTAAAGCAGGTCATGTTGCCTTTTTGGGGGCAGATATGCTAAAAGTCACAAATTGAATCCTCTGTCACAAAGTATTGTCATCTCCATGAGCCAGCTGGGAACTCCCAGAGCTTAGAGGACATAATGAAACCACAGAGGACATCAGCTTCAAAGCCAGACCTAGAACTTCAGATCCTCTGCCCATGCTTACTGGGAAATTCTGCTGTGTTTAAAATTTTAATGAAGGCTTTAAATTGAGGACACTCCTAAAGTATATAGGGCAAAGTCTTTTTGTGTTTATATTTATACAGCCACTGTTCACTCAGCAGTAATCTGTCTTCCCCCTGACTTCTGAAAACGTGCATCTCCATCCTGCCTATCTGTACTAGATGCATTCTGTTCATGTTAGTACACAAATACAAGAACAAGTTACAGCAAACACCGTTAAAATGCATAGATTCAATGGAGTATTGCCTTATCACTTGGGTGTACTAACACAAAACTTGTCAGAAATCTGTGGTTTTACTGAAGAAAGGGCAAAAGAGGAAGCCTTAAAACCAATGCTGCCTTCTGAGAATATATTGTTCAGACCTGTGAGATGTGAGTAAAACTTTTATATCTAGTAGCAAGTAATTGCATGGGATGTTTTTTCATGATTATGCCCAAATTTTGAGGGGGACAGTATTGTTCTATGTAGCTCTTTATTCTTTGTACTTTGTGATCTAACCCACTCAATGGTTTGTGTCAGTCAGCAGCACTAGGGATGCTCTTACATCCAGGCAAATGCTACATAGTTGTTGCACATTGCATTCCCTTCTCTGGCAATGATGGGAATTCCTTATCTGCAACCATGACAGTAAAATTTTGCTGTGTGCTCAGTGAAAAACAAACAGGAAGTAAATCATAATTCAAAAGGTATAGTCCAAATATGTGAACTGAAACATGCCCCAGATGAAGCAATGCCTGCACAGTCCATAGCCTCCTTCCCTTTTTCCCAATGAATTCATGCCTGCTTTCAACACAAGCAGTACAGACTGTGCACTGCTCTGGGTTGGTGCCCAGCAGCTGTAGCCTGCTGTTCTCAGCACTGAAACTACTGGATTAGAGTTGGCTGAAATGCCACACTTCTGACAGACACAGCCATCCACAACCGATTTCCTGAAAGCCCAAAAATGTATTCCGTGGGCAAAAAAGCTCACAGGCTCCTGCCAACCCAGATCAGAAAGCAGAAACCGTGGACGATGCAGGGAGATCGCTGAGTCACTGCCACTTAGCCACGGTTTAAAGCTCTTTCAGAAAATAAGCACTGGCAGGACGAGATAGGAGAACACTGAGAGAAGCAGCAAAGGACATAAGACCATACCTCAGCAAGACTCAAAGTCAGGTTGTTTCAAGGTGCCATGGAGGCTGACACTTCCCTAATGACAACCTCTTATACAGATATTCCTTGCTTGACTGCACCACTCACCAGGAGCTTATCCGAGTTTCACTAAATAGCGTGCTTGCCCCCACCCTCTCCTGTGCACATGTCTAATAAATTGTTTCATGTACCTAAGTTATATCTGTGGCTTGTTGGGTTTTTTTCCAAGTCTCTCTGCTTGGTAAGAGTTTTTCAAACAAATTTAACTCAAACCTCTGCGGATTATATAGCCACACTCCCCTCAAATCTTGGCTCACTTTTATTTGCACATTTTAACAAACTATATATTATTACTTTATGTAAACTCCTCTCATTAATAAATGATACAGCCTTTCTTGTGTCTCTCTTTACTCCCCTCCTGCATATTTTCAAGCCTTTAGCTGTGTGAAAGTTCATACAGATGATTCATTTCTTCACACTCCCCCCTCCTGCAAGGACAGTTTCATATTTTTGACACTTTTAACACATAAGCCTGCTCACCTATCTCAATTCTAACCTCACTGTAGTCAACACAGCTATAAATGTAGAAAATCAGTGCTAGAGGGAATTCAAATTCTGTGTTTCCACGTTTAGAAGCCTGAAATATTTGGTGGTTTTCAAGGAGAATAAAATTCAATTTTATAAGGACAGAAAAGCACAAAAAATTATATCAAGAAAGTGACAAAAGTGACTTGACCTAAAGTTACCTCAGAAAAGCTCTTTTTATGAGTGTTAGATGTAACCTGTCCATCAGCAACAATAGACTAGAACCCAGGGCTAATCAGAACTCTGCAAAATATTGGGGCTCACATTAGATGTGAGCTCTAACATACCAATCTTGCAAGTAGACCCCCAAAGACAGATGCAAACACTGCATAGAGTCTCTGTGAAATTAATTTTCCAGGATCACGTCCCAGCTTAGCCCATTTTTGCTCTGGAAGGATGAGACAATATTTTAGCTGCTAATGTGCCGGAGTTTGGAGTCTGTTTTTGTGAACTATCACCTTTTCTGGGCACCATAATGAATTGTTTACATTGTTTTGAAGCAAACACTGAAATGCATTAATCAGTCCCAAAAGGGAACAATCAAACCTGTACAAGTTTCCTCAATAGAATAAAAAGTCTTTCTGCCTTTCTACTTACAACTGTTCTTCAGTTACCCAAAATATGACCCAGCTGGAGTGCATGCTTACATAGCACAGAAATGAAAACAAGGTAAAATAAAATCTAGTGTTTCTATTCTCTTAAAAGCAGGGACATAATCAATCATTAAAGTAAGAATTTTGACCTTTGATTCAGTAAAGTGCTAAAGCCTATGTTCAACTTCAACCATGAGCTGAAGGCCTATGGATCCCATCAATTATTCAAAAGCCAAGAGAATGTGCCAAGGGGCCTTGCTGAGTAAGAATACAGTGTTCGGCCCTAGGCCAGGAACACAGTGAGCTACAGATTACTGCTTCTGTTGCAAACTTTTGGGAATTTGCCTTTCTCTGTTTGAGTCATGGATTTCCTCCTTCTATGAGTCCCTGGCAGAATCAGTAGGCTGACATGCCCCTGAAGAGTTACTATTTAATGGTTTTGGTCATCTGGACAGTTCTGGTGCAGACAAGTGAAGAACACCAGCACTCACAGTTCGGTGGTGGATCCACTGGCTGTGGCCGTACTCCAGAGTTCCTCCCAGCTCCCGGGTCAGCTGACTTTTGTCAATATAGCCATGCAGATCAGAGACAGAGTTTAACATGATGATCTGAAAAAAAAATCCAAACACACTGGACTGAGAGAAATAATGAGCCCTTTAAACCATTGTTCCTAGGATCTGGGTTTGCCTTAACACGTATGAACACCGCAGTTCCACCACAGGCTGTCAATTCTCAGCATGTATTTGGTCATGCAATGACCAGAGATTATTTTCACTAGATTTTTCCTTCTTAATGTGTACATGGCCATTCTTGAGCTAACCATAGTTTGACATCATCTTGCTCCTTCCTAGGCTGAGTCATTTGGCACATGCTTCAAGAGCAAAAGTATAGTATTGATAATGTTCACACAAACTTCTATCAAATAATTTATTCTCTAGATAACTGTTATTTACAGAGAAATGGAGGTTTAGGCAAGTCAAAACAGCTTCTTCAAAGCCAAGCACTTGATCCAGGCAAGTGCTGAAATGAAATCATTGAGAATAAGATTTCCCTTTCAGTTTTATAATCCTTTTTTTGGCACTGTACATCCACTGAGTTCACTGGCATTATTCAATTTAAAATCATGACGGAAGAGAAAGCAGAGACAAACCTAAATTCACTTTCTTACATTAAAGAGTCTCTTTACCATTAGACTTGCTTAATGAAAGCCAAAAAGATCTGCAGTCAGCTTCAGATAAGCAGCATTACCACTGTAAATTTGCCAACACAAGTGGTTACGCAAATAAAACACATGTATTGTTGTTCTAACAGCTAGAAAATATGCCATGATTTCAGCAACAGAAGAACAAGGTGTTGAGCACAAATTACTAGGAATTTTAAGCCTCGGACTTTAAAATAAGTCAAACATGTTACTTGACTGCTCTTTAAAGAAAGGCTAACTGGCTCTGCCTGTCAGCAGGCTCCAAGGGAGCGTGGTACATACACTGGCAAACACTCTGGGCAATTAGATGAGTGAAGATGTAGAGGATGTGCATTCTAGGCTAATAATGCTCTAGGAAAAGCCTTGAGAACAAACCTGAACAGGTTTTTAGCTGATCCTTGTTACAGAATCATGCTAGAATAATTCAGGCTGGCATGAACCTGAGATCTCTAGTCCAGCTTCTTCCTCAAAGCTGGGTCAGCTGTGAGATCAAAGCAGGTTGCTCAAGGCTTTATCCACCTGATATTTGAAAACATCTAAGGATTGAGATTGTACAACCTCTTTGGGCAGGCTGGTCTGCTGCCTGATTATCTTTGTGGTGGAAAAGTTTTTCCTTATACCAAGTCAGAACTGCTCTTGTTTCACTTTATATCAGTTATTCCTTGTCCCACTGTCATGCGCAGCCTGGCTGTGTGCTCTCGGTGACCTTCTTGGAGGAACTGGAAAGCTGCTGGTTTGTCATATTAACCCTCCCATGCCTTCCCTTCTCCAAGGTAGACAAGCCCAGTTCCCTCAGCATCTTCATACAGAGCACATGCTCCAAGCTCTGACCTTCTTGGTGTCTCTCTGTTGATCTCATTCCAGATTATTATTTTTCTTTTACTGGGGGAACCAAAACTGGACAGGGTATACTCATTGTGATCTAATGAGAGCCAAGTAAGGAGGGATAAGTGCTTGTATCAACCTGCTGGCTATGCTCCTGTTAAAGTAGGACACTGATGACTTCCTTTGCTGCCAGGGCACACTCTGGCTCATGTCCAGCTCACTGTCTACCAAGTTCCCAGGTCCTTTTCTGCAGAGATGCTCCCCAGATAGTCAGGCTACAGTCTGCATTGTTGTCAACAACACAACACTGTTGTGTTGTTGGGAGGGAAGAACATGGATTCTTCTTTCTTGAGGAAGAAGTCCTTCCTAGTTGCAGGAATTTGCTTTGTCCCTTTTGTCCTTCATAATATGCTTGTCAGCCCATTCCTTGAGCTTCTGTTGCAGGGACTCTGTCTTGGAATGTATCAACTGCTCCTCTCAGTTTAGTGTCACCTGCACACTTGATGACAGTGCAGCCTGTTGCCTCTTCCATGTCATTGATGAAGATATTACACAGGGCAGGTGCCAGCAGGAATCACTACAACACTCCACTTGTCGCCCACTTCCGGGTAGAGCATGAGCCTCATCATTACCCTCTGAGCCCATCATGAGACTAGTTTTTAAATCCACATCTAGTTGTCCATCTATCCAGACTTTAACCTAACTTGGATACAAGAATGCAGTGGAAGATGCATCTGGCCCCATGGACTTGTACAGGCTGAATGTTCTCAAGTAGGCCCTCACTCAATTCTTTTTCACTTCCAGTAGTTCATCTTCTCCTTGAACTCTATCTCTAAACACAGAAGCCAGGAGACCTTGTTGGTGAAGAAAGCAGAGAGTACCTCAGCCAAAGCTAGAGGAAAAGCTGTTACCTGAATGTGTTACGAAACACTGCTTGTTGTGATCAAAGTCAGAAAACTCAAAAAGCTGCATCATCTTGAAGGGCCCTCAGACTGGAACCTGACATCTATGTACTACTTCTGAATTGCAAATTACATTTGAGAAAGTAAGTCTCAACTGCTTTGTAGTTCTTCTCCACCAGAGATGTTGCTGACAAGTTGGAAATCTTTTTAAACTTCACTAAAACTACAGAGGAATACTGTCATGCACTTCCCTTTTAAGAAGAATTTTGTGTTTGCTTTAATCTAATATTGTCAGAATGAGCCACAAAGCAAACTTATTAATATTGCTGGCTAATATTGCCCAACAGTGCACAGGGTCTTCACCCTGCAGGCATTTCTGCAGGAGAAAGCTTAGAAGCAATCCAGCATCCATCTAAGAAACCAATCTTAGAGAGCATTAGCATCTCCCACACTGCTTGCCAGCCTAAAGACAGTCACGGTCAGTAAGCTGAGATTGCAAGGGAGCAGTAGTTTAGGAGAGGAGGGTCTGCATGAGCAGGGCAGCAGAGAACACAGAATTGTGGTGAGGCTGCTTCACAATGGGTTAGGACACCTGAAAGAAGTCACAGCCTACAAAGGTCAAAGAAGTCCCTGCTATGGACAGATTGTTCAGCCTTTTGTGTATGCTGTGAGGATGCTTTAATTCATTTCCTGTGATGGCAGGTTCCTTAGGTAAATCTCTGTGTGTTCCTTTTGAATTCCCAGAATTTAATCTCAGATGAACCCTGGTGTGTCTCCTGTATTTCTTTATCTTGCTCCTGGATAAGGACATTTAATCAAATCACTATCCCAATAAAGATTTACTTTATGAGGTTTTATGAACCACATTTGTATGCCAATGTGATATAAATCCGCATTTCCTTATTTTGTCTGGTTTGTTATTTCAGCCTTTATTTCCAGCTCCTGTTTGATCTTCTGCTTCCTACTCAATCCAGTGTTGATTTAACTGAGCAAATCTACTTTACTGAACATATTTGCAGTCTGATAGCTCAGATAAACTATTAAACAAATGTTTCTTTGACAAATGCACACAATATTCTTGGAGCTCCTTTTGAATGTTCATGTCTTGGTCCTGACTCGCTTACAGTTGTGATAGGAAATACCACCCATCCATGGCCTAGTTATGACATTAATGTTGCCATAGTGCCAAACTCACAATACAAACAACCTGTAAACAATTTAAAAGATGATGGTGATATTGAAGATAGGCACTGATCCCTAAAAGTTCCCCGCTCTGAAACTCAGGTACACAGGGGCATGTCCAGATGGTATTTTTAGGATGGGACTGCAAACACAAGTGAAAGGTCCCTCCAGAGAGCATGGCAGACTCTTAGTTTTTGTAAGGCTGCTCTTCTAAGTGCTCTGTGGACATCCCCAGGATGTCTCAAAATCAGAATATCCAAGATAACCGCAAACTAAACTCGTATCTTGATTTTCCTGCTTGTAAGAAAGATAAATTACTATTTCATACTTAATGCAGTGCTTGACCTCTACCTAGAATTAACCTTCCTTCCAACTTCCATCTCTTCCAAATTGGATTTGAAATGCAACACTGTCATCAAATAAATTGCTAAAAGTGTGGAAGATGCTGAATTGTTGGAAAATGCTAATCCTTGATGAGGTTGCCCTTTCTGGGCTGCAGTTGCTGCTACAATAGTTGCTATAGTAACAGATCATGGCTTATTAAATATAGGAACATCCATTTTTTGAAGTACTGTAAGATATTTTGGTTTGGATTCAAAGATATATTTTTTCATCACTTTTGCATTTTACCAAAAAGCTACGCTTGCCAAACTACAGTAAATGTTACAATTTAGTCCACATTAACCAAATACTTATTCATGGTTCCTTTCCTGTATGCACTGTAATAAATAGGCTGCTGTCTCTCTTTCAGAAGAAGCAGAAGGTGTCTTAAACACCTGAACTTCAAACTTGGGTATTGACAGAGCTAGAATTCATTGGTGGAGAGCTATGAGTCTTTTGCAAAACAATATGAAACCACATGTAAAATCCAAAAGAGCCATATGAATCCCTACAGTAAAGTCATTATAGAACCCAGTATGAGTCTGGTCCAGGATGAAATATCATCAATAATCATAATTCAAGTCTATTTATAAAACACTTGAAACCACATGCAAACATGCAGCTAGGAACAACTCCCAGAAGAGCTCTCATAGAATAACCTAAAACTTGAACTCTTTCAGGATTGATAATCTTCACATCACAGTCTCATCAACCTATTGCATATGCCAAGTGAATATAGAAAGAAACAGAAAACAAACTTTGAATCTTGAGGGCCTGGAGATCATAAAAGGCATTCAGAATAGGAAATGCTGTGGAAGCACTTAACAAAGTCAGCAGTCCCATGGATAATCCATAAAATAGTGCAGAATTCAACCCCAGCCTTTTGTTGCTCTGTAGTCCTCAATACTTAACGTTTGTCACTGGAATGAGATCTACCTCTGCCTACCTCAGAGGAACAGCTCCACGGAGTTAAAATGTCAATACTTAAAAACTGAGCCACATTTTATAGCTAGACTGACCTGCCACGTGGGAACATGTCCATTAAATACTGTGAAGCATCCACTGCTATTTAACATTTTGGCATTACCATACAGGTATTATCATATGGACCCAGATGAAAGTCCCCAGTTGCCACTTGCAATCAAATTTCAGTTACTGGGTTATGAGAAATTGCTGACACCCAAGAACTGCAGATATGGAGAAAACACATGGACAAAAAATGCATGCTTACCGGTACCTTCATTTTAAAGTCATCTCGATAGAGTTTAATGCCAATGTCAGCGATCGCCCTTTGGATAAAGCGGGAGGGTCTCAGGACAAACACCAGCTGCAAGTTTCCTGGAAATGCTCCCTGCAAGAAATACAGAACTATTAGAAGGCACAACTCTGCCTTGTTAGGGAATTTTCAGCCAAGTGTTTCCTAAACAGGGCAAAGTAGGTAAGATTTGCTGAATCTTGCTCAGTCCAGCTGCTCACTGTATCAGCTGGTCCATTCTGCATGTGCCCATTGGCACTGTCTCCAAAGCCAGCAGGAAGACTGGCCCATGGATTTTACTGCCCAGGCACACATTGTTTTCTGACGTGGATTTATCACAGAGCTGCAAAGTTCTTGACAAGGGCCTTTCTCCCCCAGATTTGAACCCTGCCAAGCTCCTTTGCACCACCACACCATAGGTTTTCCCATTTTTTAGGCTGCTGCCACTAGAGGGCAAAGCTGGCTGCCCATGTCTGACGTGGTGAAGGAAGCTGGTGGCACAGACAGATTTCCCAGGCTGACCTACCTTCTCATTCTGCAAAGGGTTTTGAATCCTCTTAACCTCACATATTTTTACACACACGCAGACACTCAACACATTCATAAGACATGGCCCTGTCTGCAACACCCAGCTTACATCTCTTCACACACTCCTCTGAGCTCATCAAGCATAAAAAAAGAACAATTACTCAAAGAGAGCAACTAAAAAAACCCTGAGAATAAAAACCAATTCTGTCTAAATACTCAAAAGAACTTAAAGTTGCCTTTGTCACCCCTTCATCCTGCACCTCTGCATATAAGTGCTTGTTCCTCACACAGCACGTTCCTGGTAATAGATGCATAAATGCAGCTGCTTTTCTCAGCAATGAAAATCAGCACCCAGCTCTGACTTTTGCAAATGAAATATAATAAGCTATTAAGAGTTTCTGACAGAGATCATTTACTACCATGCAAACACAAGTCCCTTGGGATCTGTTTCTTTCATGAGCAGGCCACATCAATTCCTCCTCAGGGCACAGAAGGGGACCTCTTATACTCTTCTAGGAACCAACTTAAAATTACTAGAATTTAGATTGCAGTCAACCCAGAAAATAAGGAATTTGTCCTAATTCAGCAGTAAACAAGGCTGTGTAATTTGTTCCAGCAGCTTCCTCCCTCTCTTATTTAACACTCATGAGCTTCAGGGCAGGGGAGAGTCTGCATCCACGGCCAGAAAATGGGAGCTTAAAATGAGCACAGGAGACTATATCATGTGCTGAAGGTTCAGCTGACGATTTTAATTTCCAGAAGATAAATAACAAAAGCAAGCACTTACTGCTATCCGTGTCAGGGATGCCTTGACTGCGCTCCATTTGTCCCGTCGTCTGTCTATGATGATGATGAATCCGATGCTGGCAGCCTCCAGACTGCAAAACAGATGAAATAGGTATGCAGGGTTACACAGAGATACTCCTATTCCAAGGAAGAGCTACTGCAGCAAAACACAGCCTCCTTCAGAGCACCCTCTGAGCTCATTATGAAAACAATGTACGGTGGAAAGAATGAATATTTGGCTGAAATTCACACAAAAGGGAAAGCCAGCAAATTTTCTCTTTCCAGTGTATGGTTATCAGCTTACACAAAACATGAATATTTTATCTGCTAAATCTCTGAGCTGCTGAGCTACAAAACTGCCAGTCTAGGTGACATGAATCGTTCAGGATCACAAATTCCACTGTGCTGTATTGAAGACAAAACCCTCAGATCCTGTTTTCTCTGCAAAATAATTCAAGCTATTAGACACCCCACTTCAGTCTTCATTCTCCAGGTATGCTGACATCTGACAGGGGCACTGAGCTCCTGGGGGTCAATATCCCCTGACTGTTATCACCTTGCTGTGTACAGAAGCCCCAGGAATTCTGATAGACAAAGCAGAAACTGAAGAATTCTATCTTGCCAACCACAAACTCATTCCAGGGTTGCAAGTCATTCAAAACTATCCTTTTAACATATTGTCTAAGATAACAGTTCCTGGTCCCTCTCAGTGCTTTTCAAGAAGGATCTAGGAGGCACTGATTTGGTGCTCTATCCCACGAATGTAGACCTCATAAATACCACATCCTCTCTTTCCCTCTCAAAAATCCCACTACAAGGTTCAGGGTTTCAGAGTGACTGCTCTACTCTGCTTTCCAAGAGCATTCAGCATTGGAGAGAAGTCCTCAGAAGTACACACTGAGAAAAGTGTCCAGAAACTTCATTGGAGGAGGATGGCTCAGTCATCTCAGAACAAACCAGAGGCAAGTGGGAAGAGCATAAATGTCATAATCAAAGGATATACTGCGATCAAACATCTACCCACAGATCAAAATTAAAAAAAATTATTAAAGCACTTTCTTGATTCCTTTTCCATTGTCCATACAAGGAGCAACCCAGGATTTTTCACGGGTTCATTTTGTGCAAACTTGTGTCAAAAATCCACTAAGACCACCAATGGTAGCAACTCTGAGCTCCTGATGCACCTCTGCTGGATCAAGAACAGCAACCTGAAAGCCAAACTCTCTGGCAAACCTGGGATGCCATGTGAGTCTTCCCAATAATTCATACTGGTAACAGGAAAACACACTGAATTTCCTACTTCAATATTTTTACAGCATCCTCTGGGGATTATAAAATTCAATGATAGTACATGACTTTTCCTCTTTAGTAGTGCAACATGCAGTTCTCTATGCAGAGGACAGAAAAGGTGGTTTGTAGCAGTGCCCCTCAAGCACAGGGAAGAGACTTCATCTGTTTCTCCTCTTATATATACACAACTGTATGCATTGACAAATATTTCAAGGAAAAAAGTCACCAGCATGGTATGTATGCATCAGGATAAAGGGTTCAGAGGAAGGCAACAAAGAAATTGCGTGTGTTGCAGATTGTTACTGAAAGGGTAAGAAACTAAACACAAAATTCTCAGCCTGGGGTCCTCCCAACCAACCTAAAAATCTGCACTGGATTTATCAAACTGATTCTGCTGATTGGAACCAAAATTTGCTTTGGAAGTCTGGTAGGTAGGAAAGGCCTGGGAAAATCAGCCTCAGCCTCCAGACCCCCAGGTGGCACCTCTGGTTTGGGGGTTTTTGTTGTTTGCTTGGTTTTGGGGGATTTTTTGGTGGGTATTTTTCTTTTTTTTTTTTTTTTTTTAACTAGATAGGTCTGATTTAGATCCTAAATTTAGTCAGGGAAACAGAGAGAGTGTCAGCAAGTGATCCTATTTCAGTCAGCATGCTGAAAAGCCATACCAAGGTCTGAATGTCATTTGGCACTGAGGAATGGATGCAGGCAAACAGCCATGGGAAGAGGCCTAGCCAAGATGGAAGCATCAGCACAAGTGATGTACAGCTGAGAAACCCCACCTGTGTGTGTACCCAGAGGAAGGGAGTTTGTTTAAAAACAAGACACAAAGACACTCAAATTCTATCATTGTTTTCTCAGTGTCACTACTGTAATATCTCTTGTGAAAATGCATTGGGGTTTCTCCAGTTCTCTGAAAAGAAGGATTTGAAGACAATCCTGAACAGCAGACAGACATCAAGCTTACCTTCAAAATAAATTCTGGCACATTTGCCCAGATCTACAGATGTCTGGCAGAGAGGTTCCCTTTCCCTGAATGAAATATGTGCCATCAGCAGAGCTGTACTATCTTCAGCTCTGAATTTGGGTTAGCCCTTGAACACTGATTTGAGGAGGCCAGGAGATGTTGAATTTCCTTACCTCTTTTGGGAGGAGAGGAGGGCACCTGTTCCTCAAAGGAGTTGATCCATGTCAAGTGGATATCTTCTGTCATATTAGCACGTAAGATTAATCATTCCAGAGGGACTTAGTTACAAATGCTGAATGATGTTGTCTGCAATCACAGAGCTCAACTCCACAACTAGCATGAGCCTTCTTCTACAGGATATGCAGAATCAGACACTGATATTCTCTCTATATTTGCCTGGAAAATGGTGTGCTGATTTCTCTGGTTCACTAAGCTCCGAAGAAGGAAGTACTTTCTAGGAAAAACAGGGTGAACTGCTTTTCAAACTATACTTCATCTTACCTGATTCATGGCCATACCCTTTGTAACTCCAGAAGAGTTAGAGACTATTCTCTATTCTTAGTCACTTCATTTGATACCTTCTCATCTGTCTTGAAAATTGAAGTAAAAGGTGAACTACTGGCAGTGACACAACATGCACAGGAATGTTGTCATAATACACATAGCAGTATATAGCACAGTAGTGCTGATGAAGGTAACAATGCAGTCCCTTTACTGCTTGCTGAGATGTGTGGCAGAGACACTCTGTGTGCATGGACCTGCCAACTGCAGATTAACAAGGCTCTGCTGCACCCAAACAGGTCCACTACTTATGACATATTAAGATAGTACTTCATATAATTATGTCATAAATCACATAACCAAAGCTTGCTGCTCAGGTTCTTCCTCTTCTCAATTGACATCTTTGTCCCTCACCATCTACATAGAGGGTGACGAGTTTCAAATAGTGACTCAAGAAATGTAGTCAATCTTTCTAAAAGCACTGCAACAAAGACTAGAAAACTCTACAGAAAACTCATATCCCTGCAGTGTGATCTGTGATTGAACCTAAGAGTTAAAGCAGTGTGCTGGTATGCAGAAAATGTACCTTCAAACCCCAATCACTGACCTTGAATGAGTCATTTAAAGCAAACTGAGCAGTCACTTACTCAACACAGGTTTTGGTGAGCCTGTCTGTAGTGTGAGATATTACTTACACATAACTCATCATCTGTAAAATGGGCATATTGCAGCTCTCCTGACCTACAAAGTTTTGAAATGCAATTCGTCATTCTTTGCACATTGTTCTGGGATTCCTCAGGGGAAGAGAAAACACAGAACTGAAACTGAATCAAAGCAAAGATCCATCCAGCCCAATACCCTGACTCCAGTGGCAGTAGACAGTGGCTACTGAGACAAAGGCAGTAGGAAAATGAGAAGGACAATATTTCTCTTGGTATATTCTCCCAAGTCCCAGCATTGAGGAATAAATGGATTTCTTCAGCCAGAGTTTGCATCTGAGCCATTGTGTTCAGCTGCCATTGATGGAGCAATCCTTCATGAATTTGGCTTATTTCTTTTGAACCCATCTGTACTTTTGGGTTTCACACAGGCTGAAGAAGCATAAAGCATTTCTCTCTATCATGTTGACAATGCAACATTCTAGTTCCCCAACATGTGATAACTTTACTGGGAATCACCCCCCAGCATACCAAGTACAAAGAACTGAAAAACTAGTCTTATGTTTTTCGCAGCTACTATTGGTGTTTTATGAACCCTGAGGCTGGTCACCCTCCCAATCCTGAAGCTAGTGAAGAAATACTTAAGACAGAGTTTCTCCTGCAGAACAAAAGGCCCACAGAGCAGAGTGAAACAATGAAGCTGTTAAATTCACAGTGTGTGGTTTCTCTCAGCTTGCTTTGGCAAGTCAGTATGGGGAATACATGTAGGTGGAGCCGGAAAACTTCTCACTCAAACTTGAAGGAGCGCATTTTCTCCTGTGCTCCTCTAAGCACCTTTTTACACAAAACCACAGGAAATAATAAATCCTTGCTTGCTTCTAACTAGCACAAGCAGCCATGGTTCAGAGACAGGATCAGGGGACTGAAAAAATATTAAGTTCTCTTAGATAAACAAGAAGTAATTCAGCAGCCATGCCTCAGCACAGATCCTCAGAGCAGGGGAAGTCAGTTGGTTTCACTATCCTTCCACAACTGCAGGCAAAGAGCAAGGAAAACATCCTAGCTGTGGAGCAATCTCCAAAGAAACAAAGCATCAGAATGCACACGGTGCTTGCCAGAATCCTGTCAATGGAGCACCTCACTTGCTTTCTCAGAAAAGGAAAAGCTGCACAGAAAGACGCACTCAGAAAATAAGCAGTCACAGGACCTGTGCCAGTTTGTCTCCTTCCAGATGCAATCCTTCCCTTGTTGCACCCAGGTCCCCTGAGGGTTTTCACAAACAGCCCCTCTTAGCTCCCCTGTGATCTGCCATCTTTGTTGCTGCTCTTCAGATCTACAACCCCTCCCACCCAGCTCAACCTGCCCTGTGTGAAGCTTTCTTTCCAATGAAAATCATGAAAACGGTTCCTCGGGCCCCCTGTACATAGGGAAGTTTCCTAATGACCGGATAGATGCAGGGTCACTGGTACATCCTGGTAGCATCACTAAAAGCAGCGAGCCACTGGGGAAGTAAAACTCTCTAGGACATCAACAGACACTTGTGCTTATCCTCACCTGGGAATGCTGGTTAGATACGTGACCACATTCAGAAAATCTTCATCAGGTATTTCACTGAATCCTGCGAATTCTGGAAAGGTTATAATGGGTGCCCCATCCTTCCCTCTTCCTCCTGCAAAAGAGAAATTGCAAAGTTTAGAGGGTGATTTTATGCCTTTGGACAGACTGGTCAGTACTCAATGGTATATTCCTCCTTGTAAAGCATCCACATCCAGTAAACATGAATCAGCTTCCCATTTGAAATTATAACTCACTGTAGTTTCATTACCTCAGTTGACTCCAGCTGAGATTCTAGCCTCTGTTTATTCTCAGCTTTTTTGAGAACCTTTTTCACAATTCTGATTAAGTGCTTTTTTTGGTTCTTTGTTACCCATTTCCAAGTAATTCATTGTGATAATATTAAAACTTTTGTCTATGTATAAGTACAGCACTCTCTGATTCCTTCTAGACATTAAAGGAAATTAAATAACCAGGCATACAAGCTTTGAATACACACATATAACCCCTGACAGGGCCTGGGACCAACCTGGTCTTAGGTCTTTCTTGAACAAGAAGACACTCAAAGTGTATGGAGGAATTAATCAACGAATTTTGCTCTTGTCTTGTTTCTATGCATCAAACTCTACTAAACAGGACAGGAGGGTCATAAGCAACAAGGTCAAGAGGAGTCTCTTTCTGAGAGATTCTCTGATCCAAACACTAGTAGAGCTGTAGGAAACATGGAGCCAAGTCCCTCATAACCAAGCAGCCTTTACAGTTCTCCTGACATGATGCTCAGCTCTAGGAGCTGTTGTAGTACACAGTACAATCCTAACTTGGTTCTGCTAATAAATCTGGGCATTGCTCCAACCACACAGAAGTTAAGAGAGGTTTTCTCACCAGCTCGGACTCAGAGCTGACTAATGAGGCACGAGCACATAAAGGAACAGGATGAAACAAAGCATTTGTCACAAGTATCTTATTGCTCAGTTCTCCTTAGATAGGACATTAAGGACATTCCTTTTCCAGAGTCTTTCTTCTTTCTCTGCAATCTCTATGTAAACCCATTTTTTGCATCAGGTTCAGGAATTCTCTACAGCCCAATACTGAGGGTAGTCCTGCAGCACACAGAGATTTTCTCATCATTTATCACCCACAGAAGATTCTTGCCCATGGAATAGCCATGTCATAGGCTTCCATTTAGTGAAGGGAGAGCTGTGAGAGGGAGACAGTAAATTACCTTTCTCAAGGAAAATATCCAATAAATTATCCCATTAGGAGCATGGGAGGAAATAGAGAATCAGTTGGGGGGAAAAAAATAAGTTCTCATTCCTCGAAAGTACCCTATAAATCCCCACAAATAAACCCTGTTTCCAGGCTGCTCCTTGCATTTCCCTGCTGTTATCCAGAGCTGATGCTACAAGCCAGTTTCTCCTGCTCCTGTGTTGGTGATCACTGCAAAGAGGTGCTCCAGGAACTCCTAGCTATTTGTGTGTAGAGGGGACAGTCCATTCCTAGTCCTGAACCTGTCTCTGCCCAATCCTCCCACTTTCTTGACATCATGGTGGCTTTGTCAGCACACTACCTTTAGCCCCTATTTTCCTTTCTGAAGGTTGATTATTGCTTTAATTACATCTGAAAATGACTCAGTTGAGTGAGATCATCCACTAAACTGACCCCACTAGGAAGAAAACAGGCCTACAGAGACTGAAAAGGCTTTCAGCCAAAATGCAAAGCAAGAATAGCATCATTCACACTGCACTGAATTGTGTTTCAAATGTTGAGCAGAGCCACAGCCTCCACATTGACCTCCACACTGGCCTTGGGATGATGCCAAGTGCTGATGCACAGCAGCTGGATCCCAGGGCATTCCAGCTGCACTGTCTGCAGTCAGCAGTGACAGAGAATATGCTGTCATGCAAATTCAGTCAGATTTCCCCCAGACTGCTGCACTCTAGAGACCAGGAACTCCAACCAGCCAGTACCCAGTTAGGCTGGTTTGTTACAGATTCTCAGTGACATCTCCTGGACACAAACAGTAACAGCAGGCAAAATTAAACTGAGCTTGTCTACTCTGTCTCTTCATGCAGAGTTCAGTGCATGCCGAGGTATTTCATGGTTGGTATCTTATGAGCATTCACATGATTCCTGGGCACCAAGCTTTCCCATTCTCGTATTTCAAATATGTGAAGATACTTTAAATGAGGGAGACGTAGTAACGTGCAATATTTTGGTTTAAAGCAGCAGTATTTGCCACTGGAGGATCCCCTCCTTCAAAGCCTGATTGTTTACCTGCAGTTACACTCAAGATTTGCTTAAACTACAAGTTTCAAATGGTACTTCTAAGGCTCCTCAAGACCAGGGTTCTTTGCATCCCTTTTATTCTCTTGCATCTGCATTTGTAGATGTGCTCTTCTTCCTCTGGCCTCTCTTCCCCAAGCTAGGTCAGGCAGGCTGATGATGCACTCTGTGTATGTGGCTAAGTATTTTTATGACCAGATCTTCTATAAAAAGTCATCCAAGGATAAATGTAGGCAGACTGAACACTGACTTCTTCCCTTTATCACTGGGAACAAATCTAGGACACTTAGGAGCAGCCTAAGCCTGAACATTCAGCTAAGAGTGAGAAGCTCCTGCCTTCGACGAGGCCACACACCCTTAACAGCTCCTGGGCTCCATCTCATTCTCCAAACCAGAACACTCAGAGGTTTTTCAGTACAGCTGTATTTCCAACAGGGAAACAAACAAGGAAACCTTCAGTTCCTGCCAGACCAGGAAATTAGGGTGAAGTTTGAGGGAGTTTCACGATTAGAAATTGTTAAATACTATGACAAGAAGAGAGCAGGAATATCTGAAGTGTTGAGTGACAAGCAATAACAGAAATATGTTAGGAATGGGTTGTTCCTGCCCATATCTGAACCTCAAGCAGTAGCTGAGTTACAAAGGTAAACAATCTATATCCATCTATCCCTACATATAGCAAGATAACCAGAGTAGATGTTAAAGGATATAAGGGAAGCTCCTTAAATATCAAGGGTGTCTGGAAAACTCTCTCCTCTGTATGAGAGAGCAGTTCCATACAAATAAATGTTAATGACATTTTTTCCCCTGCCACTAAACCAAGATTTGCTGCAGTATGCAAATTTCTGCAGAATGCAAATTGACAAGCTGCAGCCCTTTCTTTTCAGGGCCATCAACCTTGCTTTCTAGGGAGTTCCCACATGATTTCTTCCAGTCCTTGAAATACTTTAGCTGGATACTACTCAATGTCTTGGAAGGACAGAGAGCACAAAGTAAAAACCAAGAGGGACAGCCTTCAATCAGTTCCACAGCCACAAAGACTGAGTACATGGAATTTGGCCCCAAAGACTCTTTGTATACAATCCTTGTGCTTGATGGGACTGTGCATAACCCCTATGCTCCTGAGGATCACTTGTGAGAAGAGTCTAATTGCTAAATAGGAAAATTTACAATCCATCATAAGTCAGGCATACAGGGACAGGACAAGCTCCAGCAGTTCCACGGAAGGCTGAAAGAAAAAAGATAGTCCTCAAAAGAAGAAAAAAAAAAGATATTTCAACTAGAAAGTGAGGGCAGGAAGAAGGAGACAGAAGTGCTGAACAGAGTGAGCCACATGAACACAGCAGAGAGGTCAGAGAGGTTACCTTATGGCTACCTGAGGTGTGTCTGCTCTATTCCAGTAGGGTTAAGGGGGCCCAAGGACTGCCAGGAGCAAAGAAGCTCAGAGAGAAGCCAGAGCAACATGAGGCATGAACTGAGCTAAAGAGCCCAATGGGAGAAGCAAGAAATACCTTGAATTTAGTGCAGGCAGAAACAAAGATACACTAAAAAATAGATATCAAGAGTGTGGCCATACCTGGCAGCTGTCTTCATGCAGTGCACAGGCCTCCCTCTCTGACTTGCAGCTCTTCGAGGCACCATTAGATGCCACCCTGCAGCACTCTGTAGGCAACCCAGCCACTTCCAATGCCTCCTCACAGTTCCAAGTGCTGGTGCCCAGCCAGGGAAACAGCAGCTGGTGGCAGTGGCCATTGCAAGCAGCAGTCACAAGAGCTGGAGGTTCAGTTGGCAGCAGGGGAGGTTCAGGGCTATCCCCTGTTAACTGAACTAACATGAGGCTCACTCCTGAATCTGCCAGGTCATCCCACAGGCAGTCTCCCGTGAGTCACTGCTCCTCTGTCAGACCCCAGACTGCTCTGGGGTATAAGTAGCTCCATACTTTTGCCCACTCAAGAAACCCAGCAGGATTTTGTCTGCCACCTCTTAGGCAAACCTGAGCTCCCCTCCCAGATAGCACCCACAAATGTAACACATGCTGCTGACCTGGTTTAGCTCCCTCAGGTTCCTTCAGGAGTTCCATCTCTCTGCTCTCTCCCTCTGCAGATGACATCCTGCCTTGCATCCAACCCAAACTCACTGTGTCAAAGATATGGACCCACCGCTGCTCAGGGAAGAGCATTCTGGTTAAAAACTTTGATAGATGATCAGAGATGCATCAAGCTCAACAACTTGGAGCATGACTGAGTCAAACAACATGAGCAGAGGCTGAGCTGCTCGAAAAAAGGCAAGACTTATGAGGAAAATATTATGGTCAACTTGACCTTGTGCCTAGTTTGCCACTCCGAATGAGAATGACAGCACCCCTTTCCTCCTCTTCCTAGGCACATTCCTTATTTTCTGTTCCAGCTCCTTGCTCAACTTTTCCACTTCACTTTTGGCCCAAGGGCAAAGGGAAAGGAAGAACCTGGGTGACAGGTCAGAAGTCAGAGTGAATGTGAAAGGGAAAGAAATGTAGGATAGACAGCACACAAGCTGTATCAGGGTAGTACAAGGCATGGTAATGGGACCATTGCTCACTCTTATGTGTGCCAATTCCCCAAGTCCCAGAACACAGAGCACCATTCATAGTTGCCCCTACTAGACAGCCTTTCCAGCTGCCAATGCAGCCTGGATAGCTGTTGCAGTGAAGACAGGGACAGAATTCAGCTGTGGAAACAAAACAGCTGAAGTGCTTGGGGAAGGAATATACATGGGAGAGAAAGGGTTATGGCAGCAGAGAAAATTTAATTTTGCTTTGCAGTGTAAAGGGTGTGATTGACAAATGAGGTGTGAGTGCTGAATTTTGGGAGCTCTCACAGCTGACATTGCATGTTGTATGACTGATGTAAAAGCAGCAAGCAATCACAACTGCAGGCCAAGATCCTGGACACGATGGGGATCTTAGAAAATCTTCCACTCCCCAGTTCTAGCCCACTTATGCCTCCTGTCTGGGCATCAAAATATCCACGGTTTAGACAATCAGAGGCTACACTGAAGTGCTATTCCATAGCCAGCAGCTCTCCTAACTAGAGATCACCAAATATGCTGAATCTCCCGGGGGAAAAAAAAAAAGAAAAAAACTAACAAAAACCCAACCCAACAAACAGGCCATGGTCAGGAAAAGTTCCAAAAGTTTGTCTGCAAGTTTACAGAGCACACCTCCCCAGCCTGCCACAGACACTAACTCATCAGTTAGTATTGGAAAGTGTTCTTTCAAATGTTGCTGACACGTGCAGGTCACTGCTCGGGCCTGCCCATGTGCGGAGGACTCCCTGAGTCAGAGCAGCCCTGAGTGCAGTTCATCTCCCAGGCCAGGCAGCCAAAAAGGTCAGAGATGTCTTGGCTGAAGTTTCACTGCTTTAGTCAGGTCTTGCTTTTTCCATGCTCTGTTGTTTTGGTTTTTCATGTTGATTAAGGGTTGTGAGTGCTGAAATTCTTATTAAATCATGCTTCCTGGGTCTCAATTTTTATACAAGCTCCAAGCTGTCCTTTTGGCAAGGTCAGGCCAGGTTTTCCAAAAGGCTCAGTTTAAACAGGAAGCAGATGGCCAAATACCCTCCAGGCTTTGGAAATTAAATAAACTGGCTTCTGAGTCAGTTACCATTTTCAGATATAGTCTCCCATTCACTGCAGTCCTGTTGACTTAACAGGAGCAGAACACAAAGAAAATGACTCTCTGCTAATACGCTTCATGACGGTTTGTGTAATAAATTCGTGATTTAGTAACAAGATCCATTATTGCTGCAAATGGCAGATTGGGCTCTTTGAAAGAGTAATTACAGATAAGAACGGGTTGTGAGGCTGCAGATAAAAAGGGGGGGTAGTTGTAGTTTCAAGTGCAGATTGGTACAGCAGGTTATTAGTCTGTCAGCAGGACAGAAACAGTATAGTACCAGTGGTTCTTTATTCTTCAGTAAAAACTGGTGTGTGATAATAACCAGGTTTTCAGTAGTGCCCAACTTTGGGGTGTAGTTCCCTTAACACCTACAGGAAACACACAAACCTAGCTGAGCACTCCTGTGTTGTCACAGCTGTAGTCCCATAACTGGGAGTTGGTTTTCAGGGAAAGGAGAGAGGCAGCAGTGGTTTCAAAACTAGAGTTTAACCACAAAGAACCAGTACTCCTAGTAGATCTCACAAGCTAAGCAGGGCTAAATCAGCACATGGAAAAAGATGACTAAAGTAAAATTACGTGATTAAGCACATTGTCACACTACACTCCAGCCTTTTCCATGACCTCAGTGGACCAGGGAAGGCTTTGGAGAGTTTCTCTGTTCTTGGCATGGACAGTAAGGTCTTGGTTAGTCTGGTCAGGAGGGCCGGGACAATCAGGAGGCTGTTAGTAGCTAATACACTCATTATAACTAGACCCTGGCACAATCAAACACCAAACTCATTAGGCTTGTTATATAATTCCTACCATCTGCTCAGAGATGGCAAGACAGTCAGATCCTCTTAGGAAGTTTGTACACAGCAATAGTGGAGAAAAGTGTTTCTAATGAGTCATGTCCAGAGAAAACAAAGAGCCTTTGATTCAATCACTTTCCTTTTTCTTTTCTGCTTTACTGCAAGAGAATATTATGTGTTCACTACATCTGCCTTAGCTGCCAGCTGTTGCTGAAAAGGTGGTATTAACCAAAGAAATACTCATTCATAACAAAGTTTGCAATAGTCAACCAGTTACTTTTGCTATCACTGGACAAATGGATTTGGGGTTCACAGGACTGAACAGGAGAGCTTGACAAAGCCAGAGGCTCTGGAGCAACAAAAACCAGACTCACTGCTACATCCTCTGAGCTCTGCATGTGCATGGAAGAGAGGTCTGTCTGTGCCCTGGGGGCTACAGCAACCCCATCTACTATAAATCAGCATATACCACTGTTATGAAGTTGTTCAGAAAAACATAATATATGTCCATAACACTCTAAGAGAAAGTTGGGATTGCCTTTTACTGCCAACAATGGTGAGACCTTTTTTTCCAGACAGTGGCTACTGACTGCAACCTTTCAGTATGAAAAACCAGGAAATAGGCTAAGTATCAAATTTTCAGTCACCATGTAGGCAAGCACTGAAGCACCAAAATATTTGTGGTTGCTCATACCTAATGAAAAGCAGCAAAGCAGCATGCTTTGAGGAAAAGCTACAGAGCCATCTGGAAAAAAAAATCAAAACCAAATGAGGTCATTTATGTGTGAATTACTTTAATAAGTGAAATGAGACAGAAGAGTGCCCAGATTTGTTTTCATTGGATGAGAAAACCAATCTTTTGCTAGAGGAAAAAGAAAGTTACACTTATTTAGAGAAATGCATTTTTGAACAGTATAGTAATTTCTGGCTTGTACCTTAACCTCTGCTTGCAGGAGGCAATAAAGGGACAGTAAGGAAGATTCCTGATGTATTTTACCTATGGTCACCAACAGAATAAGATTCTGGGCTGAAGGGACCTCTGAGTAGATGATTTAATGTTCCTGATCTTCTTCACATGCTGCCATGGGGATTTTGGAGTGGAGGCACCTAGGTTTCCAAATTTAGCTGTAGCTTCAGACTGAAATCAATTTGGAAACTATGAACTATACTGCCTTGGTTTTTATTAGACTATTATTTCTGGACTTTACTGAGGAGATTTTAGATAAGCCTGAAAGTTCTTCAGATGGGATTTGTTTTTCATGTAGATGGGGCCATGAAGGACACCTTCTCACTCACCTTTGTTATTGGTTATTAGCACTTGTATGTCAATGAAGCAGTTATTTGCCAACCTCTAACAAACAAGTCCCTCAGCCCTGCCTTCTATGAAGAGTTATTTTCAAAGTCTTTAAGCAGCTTACACTTAAATTGCTTTATTTAAACATCTGTCTCATCACTTGCAAGAATAAAAGAACTAGATCAAATGTGAAGAGGTGAACTTGCTAAAACAACAAGTGAGAACACAGGCACTGCTGGAATGCTGAGTGCATAAAGAAATATGAATATGCTTTTTTATGTTTACCCTTGACATTTTTGTTCCATGTTTAATGTTCTAGATAGAACTGGAAATGGGTTTTTCTTCCTGTTTAGTAAACCACTTTCCACAAGTTGCTCATTACATGACATATACAGCTTTTATTAATGGTTCCAAATGTTACAAAGTAATGGGGTTCAGACATGGCAGCCCCCCACATTTTACTGGATAAGCACTGCATGTGAGGCAGGGGATTCTCAACAATTCCTAGTTATCCTGCACTGAGCACAACAGTGGGATGAAATAGGTTTGAGCAATTTAATGCAGTTACAGACACTGTCCTGCCTGGAGGTTTGTGTTCATTAGGAATTCTAGGAAGATGTGACCCTGAGATGCTTTACTGCAGATAAGAAGGCAGCTGGTTCCACCAGTCAATACCCTCTTCCTAATGCAAACCTGTTAGTTACTGAACTGATTAAACTGTCACAAGATGCTACTTAGAAGCCTCCAATGAGGTTTTAATACTCAGAGCCTCATAAAGAATTCTGTGTAACTCAAGATTTGGATTTCATTTGGCAGCTTGGAATGTACTTAAAAATGCAAAGATGCAGCAAAGAGCCGGCCTGCCGAGTTGAGCATTTATAGAGCTGGGTCTGTGCACTCTCTGCACTGTGTTCTCAGTGTTTCTCTCTGACAAGAAGGACAGGCTGTTCAAGAGGACCTTATGATAATCTCAGCATTTTGTGTAAATTCATGATACTTCACTGTGTATCTATGGGAAAGATAAAAAGCAAATTCTGAATTCCCTTATTTGCAGAACAGGTAGAAACAAAGACAAAAGGAATTGCCAGTGGCCATGCAGTCAACAGCACAGGCCATTCTATGATAGACACCTTCTACAGTATCCAAAATAAGTGTATTAAATAATCTAGCAAATATTTCAGTATCAGCTCTTTATTCAGGAAAGGAACTGCGTCACTTTGTGTGATTGCAAACTTCAGGGAAACAAAGGAATATGTAATAATCATATCTTTAAAAGATTAGAACCTTACACTTCAGCAATGAATCATTTCTGAAACAAAGGCAAATGAGAAGGAAGGGGGAGGTCATGAATAGCTCCCTGATAGACCAAAATCTTTTCCCACAAACAAGATGCTCAGCCATTGTGGAAAGATTTGTGTATAAAGATTTGTTTAAAGATTTGTTTAATTTCTTACCCTCTATATCTGTTCTCCCCAGCCCATTGTGGAGAACAAGGAAAATTGACTTGCTCTAAGAAAAACAAGCACAGCAACTTGGCTTTTATCAGTTCCAAACACCCCAAATATCTGATTGTAACAGCACTTTTCATTAGCAATATAAAAATACTACTGCAACTGCTGTACAGAGCTGAAGGGTGACAGTCAGCACAATAGATTCCAATATGTTTCCAAGAGAATGCTGGAATGTGATTGCTAGCAACTTCTTACCTGACAAGATAGCAAATTGCCTGTGGAGCTGCTCTATTATATCCACTGCTACCAACGGCCGTATCTCCTGCTGCATGATTTCATCTGTGCAAGGGAGAACAGAAATGAGTTAACAAAGCCTCTACGACAATTTTTGCATCCTTTAAGAACCCAGCTAAACAAACATGACTCTCACAGAAAAAGACCCTGGCTGGGCTATTGGTTGCGATATTATATGACTACCATGGAGAAGTTTATGATACTTACAGAGTCTCTCTCCTCTTCAGCCTACTAACTTCAGCTATTGCTTTGTGGTTTCACAGAGAGCTTTCCATAAACCAGCTCCAGTAGATTTGCCAGGGCTTGCCACAGGTTTGCTCAAGCTGACACCTGCTCTTTACTGCTTCAAGTTTCATATTAAGTCACTGCATTTGGCCTCCCAGTACAGCAGCTTTTCAGTCTTTGAAACAGTGAAGTCTATTCCACACTCAGGGCTATGTTCCACCCCGGACTCCCCGATCTCTGCCGGAGGACTTTGTGTAACCAACCAATCCAGAACTGCTTCCTTTCCTGATGCTTTTTCCGCTACAATCAAATACATAGTAAAAGGAGGAAATAAGGGGCTGGAGGCTTTCTTCTCATGAAAACAAAGCCTGCTCTTTTACAGTAAACACTGAAAAGTTAAAAAGTAACTTGGCAAGTAGCTGGGGAAAAATCACCACAACTTTTGTGTGATCTATCAAGTGACAAGCAACTATAATCTCACACTGAACTAATCTGATCTCTTTCTGAAGCAGGTGCACCCAATTGTTCTCCCCACTCTTCACCCCAGTCTAGAGTAACAGTATTTATGGGGAATATCTGCCAAGTCAACTGGCAGGATCAAGGCTTATGTTATAATAACACCTACTGTAACTACTCCTTGAGCCACTGTGCAGCTACAGAACAACAACCAGTCCTGGTTTTGTACAACTCACCTCTAACTGCCCAGACAACAAGTGGGAGGAAGGAAGCTGGGTCCAGGTAGATCACAAATCTGAGGGAAGGCAGGTAGCTGCCCTATTTAAGCATCAAGATCTTCACTGATGTGAATACAATACAGACACTGAAATACTTTGGTGCCCTTGGTTTTAAACCAACTGTCCCGAAATAGAGAGGGAGGTCAGAGAGGTTAGAGATTAGCTTCTTTCTCTTGCCTCTTAGTCTACTGCCCAAAATATCATCTCTCTTGCTTTCAGACAACCACTCTGATCCTTTCCAGAACTAGGGATTCTAGGTTTTAAATGACACAACTTCATTTGGAAAGTTTTTTGTTCATTTTCAAAGAGTACACTAATGCCTCGAGATGAAGTAGATGCAGGGCTTGTGTCATTGCTCTCTCCCAGACAGACAGTGACACACAATGTGAAAAGAAGTTGCACAAATTTTGGCTGATGCACAAGAAAAGACAATGATTCCAAGCAATTGGAAAAAATAAATGTCAAGGGGGCTGATTCTGCAAAATCTCCCTTTGAACTTAAAAGGGGAAAACTCAAACTGGAATGAATGAAGTTTTTGATGTGGGACCTTCATTTCCATTCTGTCTATCAGCTCTCTGATTCTTGACATTGCAGGTGGCTGAGAGCAATCAGGAGAGCAGAGCAATGAATCACAGCTAAAGACCTTGGTGTCAGGGACCAGTATATGTTTCCAAAGCAAACAAAATAACAGTAACCCCTTAAGTTTTCCCTTTTGTACACTGCAGTTTCCTGATGCAGTTGATGAGAAAGGTGGTACAAAATACATTTGGTGACTAGGAATCACACATTAAAGTGAGTAGAGCTCATGCACTGACATGCTTGGAAAAGAAATTGTAGCAGAAGAACTAGCAAGAAACTGAGAAAATCTGAGCAAACAAGGGAAGGTGCCTCACGAGCTCAAATGGCAAATCAGATCACATGGCCATGTAATGTCAGCAGCTGTACCCAACACCACGCAAGGTCCCATTTGCCCATTTGCAACTTCTTCTAGGAGAGTGCTCAAAGGTAGTTACTCTCCAGCATGGATGAATTTGTATCACCATCACAGCACAGAGCTTGCAATAGAAGTCACAGCCCTTGGAAACATCATTACCTGGAGCTGCTGAAGGAAGTTTTTAACCTTCGACTAAAAGAAAAGCTTGAAAAAAATCTTATAAGCAAACCTAAAGACACAGGTCTGGGTTTGTTTCAAAGTCATGACATTTTGTCTAGCATTACTGAGCATTAATCCATTTATATCTTCCACTAACTTTATCCCAGGAGGCTCTGCGGCCTCTCTGGTCTGTGTGCTGCAAGCCACAAGCCAGAAGGAAGTGGTGTTCCCCCTCTTGGGCAGAAGCAATGTACCACTTCCCTGTGGGACTGATATTCCAGCTGAGAAAACCCTGCTTCAGGCTGACATGAGCTGATATTGAGCTGACAGCTGCAGGTTCATAGACTACTTCAGAAAAACCTATTGAGGATAGGCACATTTTAATTCACTACATGGGGACCCAGAGGTCAATAGGAAGGTTTCAGGAAGCTGAAAAGCCTCAAGAGCTTAACAACTGCCTTGTTTCATTGCACCTTGCTAATATCTACAGAAGAGATTGGATAACCCCTGATCACCTCAGAGCAGTCCTGTCCTCTGATAAAGTCTGTAGAGCAATGCCATTCAAGATCATATCAAAACCTACACCAGCCAAATGTCTGGAACATGTTTATCTTGGCAAACTTGACTCAGACATTTCCCAGCTTCTGTGTGATTGTTCCTGTGGTCTTAATTGTCTCTAAAATTGAAAAAAAGAAAAAAGCTTAATTGATCAAATGGTGTTATGTGAAACAATGCCAATCCCCTACATAGGCCATCAAAACTGAGTACTTACACATACCATACAGTTCTTCATGACTTGAACTAATTTAATTTGCCAAGGCATTTAAAATGTGAATAAGAATGTGACGGAAGAGGGAAAAACAAAACAAAACAAAACAAAAAAACCAACCAAACAAGTCAGTTCGTCTACTCTTGGTTCTCCTCTTAAACTACCATAAATTGAATTCCTAGCAGAGGCCAGTTTCACTGCAGAAGAATTAGGCCTCACAGTTTTGCTTCCAAAGGCTTTCTACCCAGGGTGAGAAAAAGAAAAGCAATTACTCTAGCCATCTGTCTGGCACAGCTTCTCCTCCCTTCTTGCTCTCTAGGGAGACTAGCTGCAACTGTGCTATCTAATCTTCAAGGGGAAAGCCATTCAGTTATGCTTCATAATTCACTCAAAAATGAAACATGCTTGGGCTTCCCCACACGCACACTTGCCTATTTTATTCCTCACCCAGCTGTATGTGTTCCCACAGCAGGTCTGGAGGAGCTACACCAGCAGCAGCTGATTAAAAGCAACAATGAATATAGTCTTGTTCCTTTGTCTCTTCTCTGAGCAGAGAGAAACTAGTTTACATGCTAATGGCAACTAATAATTTCCAACAGTGTTGGAAATACGACCTTCTGGAGTGAAGGACTGGACGGTGCCGAGCAGATTGACACAGCAGTGCCTCTTGCTCCGTGGAGGACACCAAAGGCAAAGAGCCACAACAGGACACTGGGGTTTCTTTGTGTTTCAGTGACTGAACGGGACAACTGCCTGGCCTTCTGCTGACTACAGGAGGGGGTTGCATCAATCCCCCATCTGAAGTCACTAATCTTGGAATAATGGGTTACAAATTTCCAGAGCAAAGTTCATCTCTTTTTAATGACAGCCTAATATGTAATTCACAGGGAAGGAAGACAGATGGGAGTGAAAGAAAATCTTTGCTAGAATGGTAGAATACATCAGCCTACTTCTATTTTGTGCAAGCTCAGTCAAAAATTATGCTCAGAGCATTCAAATCAAGATTGTGGGTTTAGAGAAAAATCAGACTGCTGATGTGATGGAAAAGGGCAAGGAGAGTTTAGCATGAGGCCAGATATTTCATTTTAAGAGCATGAAAGGACACCTTTCATGTTATATGTGCTCACGCTTCTTAAAAAGTACCAAAAGGCAACACACAAATTCAGAGTTTGAAGGTTGCAAGGTACCTACAGTTGAAATGTTCACTCAGGTCCTGTATCTGCTTTTCTTGCCATGAACAACAGTTAGCTATGAGTCTAGCAGAGATAAGTTAGATTTCAAGAATTAAACACATTAAGGAAACAAATTTGCATGTTTCACTGATAAGGTTTAAGCAGGCTAAAGGATTTGAAAATAATCTGTCCCACCAGAATTCCCAGTATGAACCCTTAAGCAAATATTTCCCTTCCTGAAGGTCAAAAAGAACTTCAAAGTTACTACTTTTTGGTTTTCTTTTTTTTTTTAATTAATTCTATTTATTTCTCTTTCTCACCATTTGTGCCTTCTGTTTACTTTTTGAAAAGGTCTGTTTATTCTCACAACCCAGACAGAGAAACAGCAAGATCAGACACAAGCTGCTGTGCTACAAATTGTTTTCTCTAAAGAGGAACTAAAATCCAGCTATAAACAGAAAGGAAATCCCATCCTTTCTCTTATTCTTCTGCGTAGTCCCACCACCTCTTTTTTTTTTCTAACCCATGTTAAGTCAACTGAAAACCAAGCCAGGAATAAAGTTATTGTAAATAAAGTGAAGCAATCCTTTCCTTAGCGGAATTGTTTCTGATCTGGGTTAGTTCTCTGCAGAGCTGCTTGAAGGGTACAAGTGCTGGTAATGCAGGGAGGGCAAATGGCAAAGCCAGGACTACCCCTTCCAGAAGACAATCAGACTAAGATCAGCTTAGAGCAAAAGCCAAAACAGAGCATAGGTAAAGTGACAGATGTCATCTTTTATCCCAGCTCAATTTTTCACCAAGCACAACTGTAAAACTTACAAAGAGTAAGTTTAAATTCAATTTCTCTTCTCATTAAAACCAAACTTCATCACAAAGTTTGCTCACTAACTTACAGAGACACAAAATTCTTCTAAAATATTTAAGTAACTGGTTCATTTTAGGTATCCCTAAAAGTTGGTGGTTTAGTTGTAACAGCAGCCTGACTTTGTATACACTAATGTAGAAATCTGAACAAGCAAGGTTAGGAGCAAGATTCCAACTGTCTTGAGTGA